TTTACTGCCGGGTTTGGAACACTGTTATCTGCTGTGAATAAACCACAAGAAACTCAACATTTAATCCTTTTAATTTGCTTATGTATAAGATAACTTTATATATGACACGATACTGTGACTATAATTAGCACTGAGTTTCTATTATGAATCGTTATGTATTATGTGTTATGAAGCTACGTTGGTACTGCTCATGTTTATAGGCGACGGTTACCACTTTTCATCAGGTGGTCCGTCAGCTTGTTTGCCATTCTAAGTTGTATAAAAAAAAATGGAGTTTAATGGATAATATGGAACGGATAAAAGGTGAGTATATTTTTTATTGCACTTGTAAATTACATTGTTAATACATTTATAAATGTTGTGAGCAAAACAAGTATTCGAAGATAACAGATCCATGGCTTATACGAAGATGGCGTGGAGTATTCAAAGGTGGCAGAACAGAGGCCGTGGTTGAAAAAAATAAAACCTGTTATTTAATAATAGGTGTGTTCTTCTCTAGAAATCTGTCCGACTCTAGAATAAGGGCATACGGGTATGCGACCCCGGCCTCCCGAGCCGCTGCAGTGTCCCAGTCCTTTCCGCAACTGCAGTGTCCCCCCTTTTCCTTTCCCACATAAGTCCCTTATTCTTCTCATTTACTAATTTCCTTAACACATTTCCAACGTTCCCTTCCTTTTTTCCTCAATCCTTTTACTCCATACCACAGGTGGCGGAAACCACCAACAAATGCATTCCCGAAGAGGGTTGACGTCAGGCAGGTGGCCGGTTGTGAAACTAAAAAGCAAATCATTTTGTAATGTGGATAAAACCATATTACGCCGACTCCAAATAATAATTGGGATAAGGGTAGGAAGATGATGATGATGATGATTTAATAATAGATATTGGGACCTGTTATAAAAGCGTAACAGTAACAGTAATAACATATATTTTATTATGTTTGTCCTGTAATAACCCACGCCTAAACCTCGTATCTGCAAACCGTGGTATATAAATACAATATATACAATATTGAGGTCTTATTCATCATTGTCGTCATATAAGCTGTTAACTATCCACTGCTAAATATACGCCTTCCCCATAGGAAAGGGTTTCGCCAGTAATTGCCACACTTGGCATCTGTTGAGAAATATGAATATTTTAGATTTAAAAATGAATGTTTACTCACAGTAACATTAATTGAACTGTGCAATCGAGTAATGTTTTTAATTTAGAATACAACCCAGTACCCATTTTATACCTATTGTAAAACATTTGTATAAATATGTATTATATTTTACGTACCTAGTCCAGCCATAAGTTCTGTTACAAATGAAAATGTATCTATTTTTTTTTATGAAGTAATGTAATATTACTAAAATTTATACCTGCATATTTATTAAAGTCTCAGTAAAAAATAAAAAAAAAATTGAATTGGAAATGGCCAGCTTTGGCTTTATAGGCCTTTAATCTGTCTATCTACGAATCTATGGATTTACGCACTGTTTTTAAGAGAGATTTCGCCACTGCTTGCTCTAAAAATTTTTTAAGAAACTCAATGTCGCCGTGTCGTTTAGAGCAGGCCATGTCCTCTAAAACTGACCATAATTTGAAGTCTAAAGGGTTGAAGTCTGGTAATTGTAAAGTCAGTTTAATTGTAAAGATTGATTTAGGCCATGTCCTGTATATCGACGATAAGCACCGAGCTTCAGGTCTTGTTTTATAATACGCGACAGAGTCCTAGCGAGAATCTTCATTTCTCGCGATAAGATTTTTTACTTCCTAATGGGGTTTCAAATTCAACGAATTCTGTCTTTAACAGCGTTAACAGCCTTTGTAGTTTTAACAGCACGCGGCCGCCCAGATCGTTTCTGGTCTTCAACAGGAAGTGTTGTTGTATCTGTTGATAGTACGATATACGAACATACGGCTGATACCAAGCTTTTGAAGTGTCTGGAATATGACCGACGGCTCCATACCCACTTTGTGCACGGCGATCACTGCAATCCTATTTTCTTTAACATCCCATTTCATATTGTAATTTGATAATGAACACAAATTAAAAATATGTGAAATGGCGCGAAATCGAAAGAATTTTTTAAAATAATAAACGTGTTCCAAATTCAAAATAATTAAAAAGTTGAAAAAAGAAGAGTTTTTATTGAACAGTATTTATGGCCAGACTAGTTGTATAATAAAAACATTTTTATAGTTTATGACACATAGGCATTAGAGGTTTAGACTAGATAATTGTATAATCACTTTTCTATCAATTATTATTAATTAGTTATTAACAATAAACGACAATCGTAAAAAATAAACATGTCCAGTGCAGCATTTTTACTGTCAAGATTCTCGTAGATTGTTTTTTTTTTTGCAACTTACAATGGCACACAAGCTGACGGCCCAAATGATGGAATGTGGTAACCGTCGCCTATAAACATGAACAGTACTATGGACATAATATAATATACTGTGTTGTTATTAAAAAACTAAGTTGTTATGCTTCTGCACCCTGTAATTTTCTTTCGTTCCTCCTGGAAACCATCGTGACTCATACTTGTTGCACTCGTCACGATAGGCTAACTGGCCTGTTTTCATGCTCATCTGTCATCCCTCACTGGTACCCCGCCAGTGTATACCGATAGCGCAGGCAGGGTTACCATTCCATTTTTTTCCACCAAAAAAAAACATCTTGACAAATTCACCAATGGATCAGTTACGGTGGTTTCCAGAGGGAACCGCGCGGAGGTCGACCTTATAGGGTATAGAGCTAGTAATAGGGTTGTATTCCCCATTACTAATAATCCTTCCCCCCCCCCCCAAGGAAGTAATATTAATACATATGCATCATTATAATGCAAATATTTTGTTTATCATATAATGTTATCTATATTTAAATTAAATAACGTAGTTGACGGAAGATAAATTAAATATTTGTATTAAACACTAGCTTATTTCCCGCTACTTCGTATGCGTGAATTTGAGAAGTAGGAAAATCAATAAAATTTACCATTTATAGATGGCATATCAAGATCTTCAAAAGGGGGGTAAAGAGGTCTCTTCAGGGTCGGCAACGCGCGCGTAATACCTCTGGTATTGCAGGTGTTCATAGGCTACGGTAACCGCTTACCAACAAGTGGGCCGTATGCTTGTTCGCCACCTCAGTGGTGTAAAAAAAAAGATAAAACATACACCGGATTTTCAATTAGACATTTAAAAATATAACTGTCAAAACCACATTCAAATTGTGAAAGTACTTTAATTTATCCAAAATGTACTTTCAATGGAATTAAAAAAATATTTATTTATTTATTTTATCAACTGAGCAAACTTAACAGTTTCCTAATACGCTCACATGGGGGAAAGGGATTGTTAGTAATGGAGACTGAGAATCCTATTGCTAGCAATATACTTGGGTATATTGCTAGCAATAGGATTCTCAGTCCAGGTCGACCTCCTCGCGGTTTCCCCTGGAAACTATCATGGTTAATTCCTGATGAATTCATCGTGATGGGCTAACTGGCCTGTTTTCATTCTCATCTATCACCCTTCACTGATACTCCGCCAGCGTATCCCGTTAGCGCAGGCGGAGTTACCATACCATTTTCATCCATCAAAAAAAATACGCTCACTCAGGAAAGCATTAGTACAATAACATACGTGTATAATTAAAAGGAATAATATTAATTATATTTAAATTAAATTACATAACAATAATAACATCTACATGTATTATAAATCTCTGAACATAAACACTCTGTGGTCATCCGACGAAACTCCAGCAAGTTGGAGGCGAACAAGTCCAATTGTAGATACCGGCTCAAAACATCAGAGTAGTTTCAATACAAGAGATAGGAGAGCTATCAATTACATATTAAAATCTTAGATTACAGAGGGAGACTTTGCACAAAAGTCGATTGCTTGGGTACCTCTGTCCCATTCGTGTTTCAACCGTGAAGCAGTTGTGTTTGCATGGCTGTGTTTCAATTTACAGGGCGCAGAGGAATAACATCTGAGTCCTCAGGAATGGCAACGCATAGGGGGTATCATGGGCGAAACAGTATACTCTGTTATGTCCATGGTACTGCTCATGTCTATAGGCGATGGTTACCATTTTCCATCAAGTGGGCCATCAGCTTGTTTGCCATTCTAAGTTGTATAAAAAAAAATATTTACAGTATCTCTATCATACAAATGTTTCATGCAAAGCTGATCAACTTTTTCATACAATTTTTCGTGATAAATTGAGTGATTCTTTAATAAATTCTATATTTATTTTGTTTTATAATTTATGCATTTTTTAATGCTCAAAAATTTAATATATTTATTATATATTATTATATATATATTATAAATAATTAAATATAGATACGTCAAGATATATAAAGTGCGTAAGTTTATAGAACACTGATAAAAAAAAACGACTCAGCTAATTTGACAAATAGCTGACAATAAGTTGACCCGTTTTTGAGACTCGATGCTCTATCTATATCGTGTCAACTAATTTGACAATTCGCTGACAAAAAGTTGACCCGTTTTTGAGACTCGAAGCTCTATCTATATCGTGTCAACTAATTTGACAATTAGCTGACAAAAAGTTGACCCGTTTTTGAGACTCGATGCTGTATCTATATCGTGTCAACTAATTTGACAATTAGCTGACAATAAATTGACCCGTTTTTGAGACTCGATGCTGTATCTATATCGTGTCAACTAATTTAACAATTAGCTGACAAAAAGTTGACCCGTTTTTGAGACTCGATGCTCTATCTATAAAATCTAAGATTAAATATTATATATAATATGTTCATTATGGAATTATTAAGACTTATCCATTGATATATTAAGCATCAATGGGAAATGGTAAATATTGACTGTATGACAGTAGAATAAAACAATAGTTGTCATTGTGATTAAAATGATAATTGACTTTGTTATGTTTAATAGTTTACTCTTTTTGTGTGTTATTACGTGTACTTATATATATATAATTATGGTTATACTTTATATAAAGAGTAAAAGTGATATATTATTTCATTTATAATAATGTGCTGCATGAAACTAGTAGCTGTAAGGTGAGTACATATGTATTACAATTGTGTACCACCATTATTATCATGTTAATCTTTAATTATTCAATGTTGAACATAAGGATTTACCAGAGGGAGACTTTGTACAAAAGTCGATTGCTTGAGTACCTCTGTTCCATTCGTGTTTCAACCGTGAAGCAGTTGTGTTTGCATGGCTGTGTTTCGGTTTGAAGGGTGGGATATGGCGTGAATTTACTGGGTACAGAGAAATAACACCACAGTTAGGCTTTTAGATATGTTTTGAGAGGGACACTGCTATCCATCCCATCCATGGTAAAAGGAAGAGGTGGCCCATTCTATGCCAGGACCGCACGGCAAATATTATTAGTAATAGAATATAAGGTAAAACCCTTCAATAGAGGGAGCCCTTCGTTCATCAGTGGACATTTACCGGCAAATATAATATAATAAAAAATGTAAGAAGTAATTTGTTTGCATTTTTTACAGCGTCCTACTTGGAGTAGGTTTATGCTCCGATGTGCTCACGTTCCCTCCAGGGTTTATGTTCGGAGCAGCAACGTCTTCCTATCAGGTTGAAGGGGGATGGAATGCCAGCGGTCAGTACACACATTTTATATCATTCATTATTATTTCATCCATTATCCGTCCACTGCTAGACATAGCTCTCCCCCATAAACCACCATAAGGAACGGTCTTGACACACCTGTATCCATTGACTCTCTGCAATGCATTTCAGGTCGTACTCCATCTAGTGCGGGGTCGTCCTACACTGCGTTTGCCCGTCCAGGGACTTTTTTTTAATAGGTGAAAATGAAATAGTGATCGCGCCTGCGCTATCGGTATACACCGACGGGGCACCAGTGAAGGATGATAGGTGAGGATTATGCAGGTCAGTTAGCTCATCGTGACGAATTCAACGAGAACTGTTCATGATGGTTTCCAGGGGGAACCGCGTGGAGGTGGACTTGATAGGGCATATTGTTAGCAATGGAGCTGTCAAACTCTATTGCTAACAATCCCTTTCCCCCCGACCGTCCAGGGTCGTACATACATACACACAGATCTTTTAGCCACTGAACTGTTTCAAGGACAGTAGATAGTGTTTCAATGTAGAACATATGTAAATTTTTCATATTGTTAATAATTTGCACGCCGACATAGAGGCAGAATGTATATGGGAAATGTAAACCTCTTCCATTTAAAACCACCTACATTCTAGCAAAATAACTTCATTTCATTTCAAAAGATTTGAAATTTGATAAAATCTTTTGAATACCATTTGCAATAGCAAAAGCAATAAAGCAGTTGACGGTCCATCTAATGGAAAGTGGTTACCGTCGCCTATAGTCCCGAATTGCTCCATGGATTTCATGCGTCGCTTTTCCCGAGGACTACCCTTTCCTTGCTCTTGAGTGTCGTAAAAGGAACTGAGGGGACTTAATGGTCGAGAGATGAGTAGCAGCGTCCCAGTAAAAACATCACCAAAGCCTAACTGTGATTGCGAGCTTGCCTGTTAAGCTTGGCAACTATTAGCAAAACCTTCCAATAAGGAAAGACTATATTTAGCAGTGGATAGTTTATTGTTGACATAATTATGAATGATAAGATTTATTTATTTATTTACACATAAACTAAACAAACTTTTAACTTAATAATCATTCATCTACACTAATATTATAAAGAGGAAAACTTTGTTTGTTTGGTTGTAATGAATAGGCTCAAAAACTACTGGACCGTTTTTAAAAATTCTTTCACCATTCGAAAGCTACATTATCCACGAGTAACATAGGCAAAATTTTATTTTGAAAAAAAAATTGGGTTAAAAATCTTGAATTTTTTTTTGGACTACATTTAAACGCATTTATATTACTCATGCTATTAATCCTTATCAAAATAAATTATTTCATCACTAAGTACAGTTTATGTAGATAATATTTGGTCTTTGAATGATTAAAATTGGACGTTTTGTTTTGAACTTATGGCGAAATTAAAATTTCCAAAAATTGCATATTGCGATAACCAAGATCCACGCGGGCGAAAGCTAGTTAGATATATTTGGAAATATTTAAGACAAAAAATATAAATTATAAATGGCAAAACAACATAATAATTGAGATTACACAATTATATAATAACAACATTATTTTATTTTAAAATTACAATAAAAGAAAAAAAAAAAACATAAGATGAATGTAGCAATGTTTGTGCAAAGGACTTAACTCAGCATATGTCGCAGTTCCATATCTGAACCTACGGCGCTGATTTTCAGCAGGCCCTGAATACGTAACTACTAAGATATATATTTCTATCTCTTTCTAACGTTCTAGATAAATCCATGAGCATATGGGACACGTTTGTCCACGAGCACAATGAAATAATAGCGGACGGCTCGACGGGAGACATCGCCTGCGACTCGTACCACTTATGGAAACGGGATATAGAAATGCTAAAGGAGCTCGGTGTTGACTTTTACAGGTTAGATTTTGTGTATTTGTTATCCTTACTTCTTTACTAATATCAAAAATGTGACAGTAAGTCTTTTTTTAAAAAAAACATCAGACTAGACCTGACGACCCAGTGAATTTCTTATTACATATATCGCCACATCGCCGTGTGATCCCGGCATAGAATGGGCCACTTCTTTCCCGTGGGTATTGTAAGAGGTGACTAAGGTACAGAGGCTAATGATCATACTTTACGCAGTGTCAATAACCTCTGCCTCAAATTTCCCGCTCATTCTTCTTCTTTTTATTTTAAATCCTTTACTGTTCAGGCAGTTCGCGTATGGAACTCTCCGCCTACCTCTATTTGGTGCGCTCAAACTCTTACTAGCTTCAAAACCTCTGTTAAATCCTACTACCTTTCCCTTTAGTACTATTTTCCTGTGTTCTCTCTTCATTTTCCTTCATCATTTTTTTCTGTTGTATGTGTGCTATTAAGTATATGTATGTTTATGTATATATTTGTTTGTGTATATGTAGTGTATATGTATGTGTATATATATGATAATATCTATATAAAAGTGCGCCACCTACCCTTTGTCTTTTTCTCAGTGTCCTCTACCCAAAGGTTGTCTGGAAGAGATTGCTTAGCGATAAGGCCGCCTTTTGTATCACTTCTCATTAATATTTACTGTATTTGTTATTTTTCTTTTTACTTGGTGCAATAAAGTGTAAAATAAATAAATAAATAAGGTAGGGCGAGGGATGGGCAACAGCGTCCGTTTTAAAACATCTGTTTAAGCCTAGCTGCGATTGCTAACCCGCCTTCCAAACGTGGCAACTACTGGCAAAACTCACTCTTATGGGTGAGGCCAATGTACAATAGTGGACAGTTAGAAATATATATTTTCTTTTTGCTCTTTTAAAGGTTTTCTATATCTTGGACCCGATTAGTACCCACTGGCCATATCAATCGAATCAGCGAAGATGGGAAGAGATATTACAATAATTTGATCGATGGTCTGCTAATGAAAGGTATAGAGCCGGCGGTCACGATATATCACTGGGATTTGCCACAGCACCTTCAGGATCTTGGTAAGACCACCAAGAGGGAGACTTTGTACAAAAGTCGATTGCTTGGGTACCTCTGTCCCATTCGTGTTTCAACCGTGAAGCAGTTGTGTTTGCATAGCTATGTTTCGGTTTGAAGGGTGGGATATGACGTGAATTTACAGGGTACAGAGAAATAACATCTGAGTCCTCAGGAAAGGCAACGCATGGGGGGTATCATGGGCGAAACAGTATACTCTGTTATGTCCATGGTACTGCTCATGTCTATAGGCGACGGTTACCACTTTCCATCAGGTGGGCCGTCAGCTTGTTTGCCATTCTAAGTTGTATAAAAAAAGTAACTCCAAAAATTTAAAAAAAGTTATTCAAATTTTGTGTCAAAATGGTGGTTCGCGTATTACTTTGAACTCGAAGAACTAGAAGAGCAGAAAACAGTAAAATTTGTGTCATTACACGGAATTAAGTATATTATAAACAGATTTCTTATTATTTGCAGGAGGATGGACCAATCCTTATATTTCGGATTGGTTCGCTGACTACGCAAGAGTAGTTTTTTCTTTATTCGGCGACAGAGTAAAGATATGGATCACTATCAACGAACCCATAGTTATTTGCGATATAGGGTACGGAACCAACGCCATAGCACCGGGGACAGTGATCCCCGACAAAATTGGCACGTACCTGTGTAACAAAAATCTAATGATCGCCCACGCGAAAGCTTATAGAATTTATGATAAAGAATTCAGACCAAAGTATCATGGTGAGTTTTTATTTGTCATTGTATAAAAAATTGTCATATACAGATATTGCCGAAATAGGGTATAACAAAACATCACCTTACAAAAAGAGTACCAATACTGCGGATATAAAAAAAATCTCTATACTGAGTGTTTATCTGCAATATTTTTAATAACTTCGCGGCACTACACTTTCACAACTCTACAACACACACACACACACACACACACACACACACACACACACACACACACACACACACATATAAATATATATATATATATATATATATATATCGTCCCTGTAAATTACTTATTACGGGGATATATGGAGACGCCTGCTCTCTGGTGTGAGTGCAGTGCAACACCGCGAGTGTGTGACTTTGACAAACATTGACCTCCACGGCAGTTTTTGGAAAACATTAACAATCTTCGGTTATTTGGGGTGAGTTTAGGTTATTATTTATTATTTTTATTGTTTATATATGCATACATATAAATCGAGGAAAAATAGACAACGACAACGTGAATTACGGGAGCCCTGAACCAGCAACTAAGTGTGAGACGAAGTAGGTGATGAAAGTCAATATTCCACAGAAATTGCTCTATATAACATTGAGTGTAACAATGTTTTATGTAAAAATGTATTAAATTCTAAAATGTTTTAGATTTCTTTTTTTATGTATAGTGCACACTGATTGGCCTTAAACCTGTTCGGAATAATTCCTTAATTATTTTTAAATAAAGAAAACGTTATTAAAGTAATGTTTCAATTATTTCAGGCATGATATCAATTGTCAACCAATTATTTTGGTTCGCGCCACTCAGCCTAGAGGACACGCATGCAACTAATTTGGCATTACAAAATGTGGTAAGTAATTTACGAATTATTTGTTTTTTAAATTATTCTTATACAATTAGATATACAATCATACAAATAATAATACAATTATACAAATCGATAATAACTCTATATCTATCTATATATCTGTCTGAATGGAATTTTATTCCTTCTATCCCCTATCTCCGCTGATAGAGATTGGAAAAGATCGAATATGTTTACGCTAGAAAACGATCAATTGCTTAATTTATAAGTATTAATATTAAAAATTATAATATAGGTCAAAAAAGATAAAAAATTTGTTAACTTCCATAATCTAAGGATGTTAATAATTTCAATTTAACACTGTATTATGTAAAATTTTAGTTCGGAAGATACACTCATCCTATTTTCTCAAAAGAGGGCGGTTGGCCCGCAGACATAGAGAGAATAGTGGCAATAAATAGTGAAAAACAAGGATACTATGCTTCGAGGTTGCCAGCTTTTACTAAAGAGGAGATCGAGCTAGTAAGAGGTTGGTGTTATTTTTGATACACAGGATATCGATCTAATGTCTCACTGTGTTTATGTCGCTTCTTCATGTGGCCTTACCATTAGGTAAGAAGCAGGTGTGCCAGCTGTTACGACATTTTAAGGACGAAAAGAACCGTCCTTAAAATATCGCAACAGGCGATTAAGTGAATAAAAAACTATATGCCAATGTGAGAAAAGGAATATTCGAAAAAAATAATTAAGGTTGTGTTTCACAAAAAAAAAATTTATTTCAAAATTAATTATTTTGATGTAAAAATTCAACTACATATTAAACCAATTTTGGTAAAATTTCTATGAGACCAATCTGAAAGTATATCGTTACAGATTAAAAAAAGAATTTTCCAAATCGGTTTATAACTGATGGAGATGTGAGGTTCATTTTTTGTTGGTTACTTTTTTTTATGAAACAAAAAAAATACTAACGAATTAAGAACCTCCTCGTTGTTTTGAAGTCGGTTGAAAAAACATTATTTCAAGTTGGCCTTCCCAAAGATATAGAATAAAAAAACAGGTAGATATAGAATTATCTATCTGTATAAAAACGTACTCCACAGCGGTCTCCTCTGGAAATCATTCCTGATGAATTCGTCACCAGGAATGGTTCCCATTTCTGGTGACGAATTCATTAGTCCCCACTAATATGCGATAGGGAAAACCAATATCGACGCTTTCGCATTCCAAATTCATCCATTAAAAATAAGATACGTCATAACTCCTCTTAGTAAAGGATTTCGTACTTTTCTTTTATTTCCAGGCACATTCGATTTCTTTGGCATGAATCATTATACCAGTAGACTGGTCCGCGAGCGTCACAATGGAGAGAACGTAATCCCCCATCCGCTTCTGTATGATAAAGAGTTCAACTATGTATTTGAAATGCATCCCGATTGGAAAACAGCGACAAACGGTTGGCTCGCGGTATGTTTATAAGCTTATTCAATTTCACCAGAGGCAGACTTTATACAAAAGTCGTTTGCTAGGGTATCTTTGCCCCATTCGTGTCGTGAAGCACTTGTGTTTACATAGCTGTGTTTCAGTTTGAAGGGTGGCATAATCACAATGAGAAAACAATGGGCGACCTTATCGCTAAGAGCGATCTCTTCCAGCCAACCTTTGGATGGAGAGGAGTAATTATAAACAGTTTGGTGGGAGGCATATATATACTAATATTATTGTTAAAATTTCCAGCTTTACCCAGAAGGGTTCCGCTATCTGTTACAATATATAAAAAAACAGTACGGTGATGTCAAAATATTGATCACCGAAAATGGATACGCCACGGACACACGTCAAGGTTTAGTAGACGACGACAGGATAGAATACTATAGGACTTATATCGAACAGGTAATGTGGAGAGCTGTACTGGGCCTCTAGACACGTGGCAAGCGAATTCGTCAATGAAATCGACATCGCTAGCGAGTCCGTGAGGTAGAATGAGATAGCAACGCCTGGTGACTCATTCCAACTCACGGACTCGCTAGCGATGTCGATTCTATTGACGAATTCGCTTGCCACTTGTCTAGAGGCCCTGGTGTTTTATAGATAATAATGTTATGGTAACCCCATCTGCGCTACCAGTTTACGTTGGCATGGCACCAGTAAGGGATGATAGGTGAGAATAAGTCTGTTAGATGTTAGATAACCTCAATGGTGAAAATATTAATTCTTTTTTTTATTTTTATTATTGTCACTCTATTGTAGTGCGCTAGTCTATTAACAAAACTTGAAGACCGATGTCTTTTTCCAAAACCGATGTTTTTTTGACAAAGTCAAGCCAGTTGGCCCATCGTGACGACTGTCTATATAAATTAATAGAGATAGTTTCCAGGAAAAACCATAAGAAGGTCGACCTAACAGGGTACATTGCGAGTAATGGGGTTAATGGTTCCCATTACTAGCAATCCTTTCCCTCTAGCTATACAGATACTGTGGAGACCCGGACTGACTACATAGGTCAGTCTGGGTCTCCACAGGTGTAGGTGACAAATGGTTTAGAATGACAAACAAGCTAACGGCCTTGTTAGTGATGCTTTCTAATTGCTAGTTTCTTTGATTTTCTTAAGTGCTAAGACCACACGGCTATTAAATAATATATATTAATTATATTATTAGTTTGTACAGAGCTAAATCGAAGTCATTGTCATTCTTTTAAATTGCATTTGTATTCTCTGAAGAAAGTTTTCTACTAGCAACACTGAATATGACCAACGAAATATGGATCGATAAACGATAAAATAATTTGAGCTCATCCCATACTAAAATGGAGCGGTTAGTTGTTGAGTTACTATGGGAGACTAAGTTTTTATCGTATATAAATTAGTATTTGTATTCCGCGGATTTGTCCGTATGAATCAGTACATGAAGTATCCTTGAAGCAGTTGTGTTTGCTTGAATATGTTTCGGTTTGAAGGGTGGGATATGGCGTGAATTTACTGGGTATAGAGGAATAACACCTGAGTCCTCAGGAATGGCAACGCATGGGGGGTATCTTGGGCGAAACAGTATACTCTGTTATGTCCATGGTACTGCTCATGTTTATAGGCGACGGTTACCACTTTCCATCAGGTGGGCCGTCGCTCACCTGATGGAAAGTGGTAAATGTGCTAAATTAGAAAATAACCTACCAGTGTACCAAATATCATTCAAATGCGTTTAGTAGTTTTTGCATGACGGAGTAACAAATATCCATCTATAAATTCTTACAAAAAAAGCATTTATAATATTAATAAATTGATTCAAAATATTTCTAAAATACGTTCACAGATGCTGCTAGCCATCAAGGAGGATGGTGTGAACGTCATAGGTTACACTGCTTGGAGTTTGATGGACAACTTTGAATGGATGGATGGTTATAAGTAAGTTTTGTGTTACTATGGCACACGCATGATGGAATGGTAAGAAAGGAGATTGTTAGATTATATATTTTGTTTTTGTATTTTTGTTTTTGTATTTGTGCTTTTTTTATTTTTATTCTTTTGTCTCTTTTGCTGTGTATTACGTGTATGTTTTTTTTATTGTAATTTGTGTGCTGTAAGTAATGTAAATAAATTATCTACCTATCTATCTAATTCCTAATTTTCCCCATAGCGTAAATACCCAATGTAATAGCTTAACATAATGGGGTTTTATTAGGCTCAATAGAAGCTAAAACAATAATTTTTAGATATTTTGTTTGTCTGTATTTTTGTTCGAGCATCACGCAAAAACTATGTATTATATATAAACTATGTGTTATTATTGTATTGAATGAATTGCTTTCATAGTTGTATTCCTGAAGGTATCACTTAAAAAAATGGCGTATGTTTTATATTGATGCATAAAAAAATATTGAGTTCACGAAATTTAAAACGTTATTTATGATATCAAACAAAATATTTTTATTACAGGTCGAAGTTTGGCCTGTACGAAGTAGACTTCTCCAACCCGCACCGCACGAGAACGCCAAGGAAATCGGTGAAGTTCTTCGCCGATCTCATAAAGAATCGCCAATTGAATGGAACCGATAAATACAAAAGTGAACTTTAAATTTTGTTTTATTTTGCATTTATTTATATTTTATAGAAATTTAATTACATATATTTACAGAAATTAATACCTATTTTATTTATTTAAACTCCATTGTAATTCGCTAAATGAATTGATAGGCGAACTAGCTGATCACTCAGCTGTGGAGTTACTCTTGAACTAATTTCCAATAAATCGATATTGAAATTGAGACGTTTCGCACTCTCGACTCGCAACACTAGCGACATAATAGCTCCATATTGTTCTGATATGTATGTTATTATTACTTATGTATTAGTGTAACTTGTCAATGCAAACAATTGTAAACCGATCCCAATTACAACCTAATTCCTAGCTGTTGTTTCATGGGTGCAGTATAAAATTGTCATTGGATCGATATCGTTATTAATCGTAGATTCAAAAGTAGACCTGCTGATGGAAATTAATAATTGCTGTCTTTAAACATAACATACAGTTAAACGACAGTGTATTAATTTAAGAACGCCTTTTTTATGCGACTTAGAATGGTAAAAAAGCTGACTGCCCACCAGATGGAAAGTGGTAACCGTCGCCTATAGACATGAGCAGTAGCACGGACATAACAAAGTATACTGTTTCGCCCATGATATCCCCATGGGTTTCCATTCCCTCAGGAATGGAAACCCATGGGGATATCCTCCTCAAGGATATGAGTCCTCAGACTCAGGTGTTATTCCTTTGTACTCAGTAAATTCACGCCATATCCCACCCTTCAAATCGAAACACAGCCATGCAAACACAACTGCTTCACGGCTGAGACACGAATGGGACAGAGGTACCCAAGCAATCGACTTTTGTACAAAGTCTCCCTCATTCATTCATTTATAAGCTCCTTTATTCGTCTCTTACGACACCCACGGAAAGGGGGGTTGGCCTATTCTGTGCCGGGACCTAAGTACGTATACGTAGGTATTATACAGAAATGCGTCTGTATAACGATATTGTAAAAACCAAGCCTGAACTTGATATTCACAACAATAGTCACTCCGTGTTCATGGCTAAATTAAAATGTTGATGTACCTCGCCATTGCATTATATTTATTTATAATTTAAAATGATTTAATTACAATTTCCATTATTTATATTATGTTATTATTCATATTGTTAATATCTTTACTCATTTAATGACATTTAATAATTTAATTCTATTTTAAAGTTTATCAAACACAAGGCACGCTGTGGTCGCCTATAAATGTAAGAACAGTTAGATCTAATCTGCCAGTGTATTGTATTGAAATGTTTCGCTGTATCTTATGTTGGTAATCCTATAAATAAATAAATTAATTGCATCACTTGTTCTTTTGCGATAATTCCAAGGTAATCAATATAATTTTAATACGTTAATATCAGTTTAAAAATAAACACAATTATCGCTTGAGACGTAATCACGCGAAACCGCACTGTCAATTCCATGACCCAATTAACTTGTGATATTCGTTTAAAAAAACGTGTTGTCATGCTTCCGAGTTTTTTTTTTACTGTTTGAAAATCGAACGCTAACCCCATTTGCGTGGGGGGAAAGGGATTGTTAGTGATGGGGACTGAGAATCCCATTGCTAGCAATATACCCAACCAGGTAGACCTCCTCGCGGTTCTCCCTGGAAACTATCATGGTTAATTCCTGATGAATTCATCATGATGGGCTAACTGGCCTGTTTTTATTCTCATCTATCACCCTTCACTGTGGCTCCGCCAGCGTATTCCATTAACGCAGGTGGGGTTACCATTCCATTATCACCCATCAAAAAAAAAAACTCCGTTTGCATTATTAGTTTACGCTCGCGGGGTACGAGTTTGGGATGACAGTCGAGGATGAAGTCAGTTTGCCCGTCGTGACGGATTCACCAGGAATTAATACCGACGACTTGAACTTGACAGAGTATATTGCTAGCAATAAGGCAGTTAGTAGGTGTGCTTTATGTTATGATATCTTGGCCTTTGTGTATTTTTTTTTATTGATTTGTTGTGTATATTTTAATTACCTTAAGATTGAGGGTGAAAGAGTTTTTTAACAATGGAATCTAACTGCCACATTGCTAGCGAATGTGGACCTCCACGCGGCTTCTCCTGGAAACCATCGCAGTTATTTTGTATTCGTCAGGATCAACTAACCTGCTACATCCTCACGTATCATAGCCCACTATTGCTTAGCTAGTGTATACCTATAGCGCAGGCGAAGTTATCTTTTCAAGCGACGTGAAAAAAGAGGTTTTAATTCGATTGTATTTTTTTATTACCTGCTAACTCTATCAGTTATAAACCGATTTGGAAAATTATTTGTTTTTTTTTTTTTTATTTAATATGTACAGGTCTCATACAAATTTTATTAAAATCGGCTCAATAGATACATTTATAAATCAGTATAACTAATTTTGTTACAATCGAATCGGCTTTTTTTGTGAAACACAATTTTTAATTTTATACGAGTATTATATAGTATTTTATATATACGCGTTAAAAAAAAAACTTAACATTCACGACATTTGATTTTTTTGGAATTTTTTTTACTATTAAACTTTATTTTTACTTCCAGATAAAGCTGAAGAAACCTATCTGTCTATCTTGTAATGTAGTTTCATTTATTAAATTAAGTCTCACATATGTGTTCCCACAAACAAAAAAAAAAATTCGCGTCTATATGTCTACAAAAAATGATTGTACATGTTGTGTGTCCTTTGTAAAAGTGACAGGAAGCTGTACCCCAACAGTGGGCCTATAAACTATGTTTTTATTATTACAACGACCTTAATATAATATGTTCGTGGACTAAATATAAAAATAAGTTCATGGCACAGACAACGCTCAGTAGTAAATATGTGTTATTGGCAATTAGTCGCGTTTAGGTAATTGTGTTTATTTAATTTATTAATATATTAATTAATTTAAACTTAATTAATTGATTTATTATCGTAAAATTCGAATTCCATTCGAAGTACAAACTTTAAAAAAAGAATAAGGTTTAAATTTTTCAAAATAAAAACAAAATATGTGCAAAATTTAAGAGAAAAAAAGTTTTATTTAATTAGACAGAAAGAGATAAAGTTCTGTTTATAATTATTTCGTTATCTGTGATTTTTATTGTTTTTTTATTACTTATTTTTTTTTATGACAAAAATTTGAGCGCAAAATTATTATTTCAAACAGTTTTAGCTTAAAGTACTTTATTTTGAAACGGCGTATTAAAGATAGTGGTATAGTAACAGTTTTTGGATTTCTCCCAGTGTAATAGTGAGTGGAGTGTGGTGTTCAGAGCTGCTGTTCCCACCGGATTTCTTATTCGGAGCGTCCACTTCGGCCTACCAAATTGAAGGAGCGTGGAATGTCAGTGGTAAGTTGAACATACAATTTATTTACAATAATACGTATGTATTCGAAAAATATTATAAAATTTACATTTATAGTTTGTTTTTATAATAGAATTGAGGAATTGTTTGAAATAATGCCCACAGCTACCTTTTAACATCGCTCGCCATCGACAGGCAATTCATATTCGCACGCTTGAACCCAAATGGTCACATACAGTACGGTTTCGAAGAAATGTTCTCCCGCGAACGCTCAGGCTGTAGAATGAGCTCCATACCGAAGTTTTCCCTAGAGACTAAAGTATGGAGTTCTTCAAAACGGATATATTAAGGTTCCTTCAGGGTCGGCGCCGTGCACGTGACATACCTATTGTGTCAGGCGTCCATAGGCTACAGTGACCGTTTACAATCAGACGGGCTGTATGTTTGCATGCCATGTTGTGATATAAAAATAATAAAAAAATACATTGTCAAGTTCTATTGAAGATTAATTTAAATTTGCGGAATATATTGCATATAAATTTACCAATATGAACTTTGCATCTACTTCATACCTATTTTGCTTTGGAATTTTTTAAATATATTTTGTTTCTCAAAATCCAAGTTTTCATTGACAGCTTAATGAGAATGTTATTGCCTGAGCGTCGTTTAGTTCGCTAGCAGAGCACTTTTTAAATAATCCATCAAAAATATTGAAAAATGTTCAACTATTTTTGAAACAATTGAAAAAGGGGGGGAAGGGATCGTTAGTAATGGAGACTGAAAATCCCATTGCTAGCAATATACCCAACCAGGTCGACCTCCTCGCGGTTCCCCCTGGAAACTATCATGGTTAATTCCTGATGAATTCATCATGATGGGCTAACTGGCCTGTTTTCATTCTCATCTATCACCCTTCACTGGTGCTCCGCCAGCGTATCCCGTTAGCGCAGGCGGGGATACCATACCATTTTCTCCCATCAAAAAAAAAACAATTGAAAAAGGTTCAGTTATTTTCGAAAATTCACTGATGTTGTTACCCTACTTCATTATGATTAAGAGGGGGTGAGGTCAGATCACTGTACGTAGCGGGGGGTATTCCTAATTATTTATTTACAATAACCAATTCAAGTCTTATTTAAATAAAAATAATGATAAGTTATCAATAATGGAACCTTATTTCATCAATAAGCACAATACATAAAATTTAACAGTTCTTTCTTCTGAAAAATGTCTTAAATTATTAATTAAAATAATTATTAATATTATTGTCATCTGAAGCATTAACACCCATATTTTTTTTTAAACCGCGGATGTTACAAACATGCAAATGATATGCAGGCTAACCTGATGATAAGCGGTTACCCTAGCTTATGAAAGCCTGCATTATCAGGGCCCACGTGGTCGATCCTAAAGCAATCTTATTACCGCTTTATTGAAGAACTTATTTACGTATATGACTCTGGGATTTTTTTTAATAGGTGATGATGGAATAGTAACCCCGCCTGCGCTTTCGGTATACACTGGCGGAGCACCAGTGAGGGATGATAGCTGAGGGTGAAAAGACAAATCAGTTGACCCATCGTGATGAATACACTTGGAATTCAGCACGATAGTTTCTAGAGGGGACCACGTGGAGGTCGACCTGGTTGGGTATATTGCTAGCAATGGGACCCTTAGACTCTATTATTAACAATCACTCCCTCCTCCGACTCTGGGTGTTTGTATACCGTATTTACAATGTGTCTGTGTGTGATATTAAAGTTATTCACAATGCCATAATTTTCAGATAAGAGCAAGAGTATTTATGATCATGCAATCCATAACTACCCCAGCATCATCGTCGACAACAGTACAGGGGACGTCGCATGTGACTCGTACCACCATTGGAAGAAAGATGTGCAAATGGCCGCCGAGCTTGGACTGCAATTTTACAGGTTTATTTTCTTTTCCATTAAAATAGGTATGCCGTGTGTCCGTATGCCGCGGGATAGTATGGGCCTCTCCTTTCTTTTCCGTGGGTGACGTAAGAGGCGATTAAGGGAGGGCGTGGGATGGGCAGCAGCGTCTCTCTTAAAATATCTCTAAAAGTCTAACTGCGGTTACCAACTCGCCTGCCAAGTGTCAAAACTACGGGCAAAACTCCCCTTATGGGAAAGACTTCATGTTCAGCAGTGCACAGTTAACGGCTGAAATAATAATAATAAATGGTAAAAATTAATTGGCGTGTAGTTTCGATGTAGAATTGGCTACCCCGAGAAGAACCCGTGGATATAGTAAGAGACGACTATAGTACATTACTGCAGCGGCCAGCAACTGAGGCATTGATGGACGAACGTGCAAATTTAGGCCGAGGCGTAACCCGGGCACACATACGTGAGTCCTTCAATGCCTAGTTGTGGCCAAGGCTTGTATAGTACTTTTCTCAAACAATGCGCGGAAATCAAAAACACAATTTTACTTTTTAAGTTCAATGACGAATAACGAACAATAATTTTTCACGCGCCATAATGTTCCTTTGATTTTTTTTTCAATAAACAGCTTTCTATTTGTAAGCCAGTTCGAAATTTAAATAAAACCTTTTATTAGTTACCTCCTTGGTAGCCATGTTTCGAAGTAAAAGGTCATTCCATTTTTAAATTACAAGACAGATATGAGTTTACATAGTAATTTATCTGGCCGCAATACACGACAGATATGGATTTTCATACAACTTTTGCCGGCCACTGCCTGCATGTATCTGACCAGTACGGCAATTTTGATTTATCTCGAAGAAGATTGTCAAAATAATACTCACATTTCCAAGCATGTTTGAGAAAAGGGAATTTATTGATTGAGAGATAGGCAGCAGCGTCTCTCTTAAAACATCACCAAAGCCTAACTGCAGTTGCCAACCCGCGTGCCAAGCGTGGATACTATTGGCATATAGAGTAGAGAGAAAGTAGATCCCCCATAAAGAGTGTATTTATGGGGGAAACCTCCCCCATAAATACACTCAGCAGCATACGTTCAGCAGTGGACAGTTAATAGCCGATATGATGACTGATGATAAAAATAGTTTCTGGATATTGTTGTGGTAAGAGATAAGGATTCTTTTGTGAGTTTACTGCTCCGCGTGACCCGGATATATGTGGATACCCCGAAAAATCTGTTTTTTTTTTTAATAGGTGATAATGGAGTAATAAGGGTTATTACTATTATTCCTATTCTATTCTATTGGTATGGGTGGGGGAAGAGATTTAACCATGCTGCGAGTACACCTGTCTGGGTCTCAATCTAGTTCATACTGTTTCCTTTATAACTGTTTTTAATGTTATAATGTTATTGTTTGGGGGGAAAGGGATTGTTAGTAATGTGGACCTATGGGACTAGCAATATACTCTGTCAGGTCGACCTCCACATGGTCCTCCCTGGAAACCATCGTGCTGAATTCCAAATGCAATCATCACGAAGGGCTAACTCACCTGCCTTTTCATTCTCACCTATCATCTCACACTGGTGCCTCGCCAGCGTATACCGTTAGCGCAGGCGGGGTTACCATTCCATTATCATCCATATACGTTGGCGGAGTACCAGTGAATAATGATAGATAAGGATGAAAAGGCAAGTTCATTAACCTATCGTGATGAATCCACTTGAGACATGAGCAGTACCATGGACATAACAGAGTATACTGTTTCACCCATGATCCATACCCATATTCCCCATGCGTTGCCATTCCTGAGGACTCAGATGTTATTCCTCTGTACCCTGTAAATTCACGCCATATCCCCACCCTTCAAACCGAAACACAGCCATGCAAACACAACTGGTTCACGGTAGAAACATGAATGAGACAGAGGTGACCAACCAATCGACTTTTGTACAATTGCCTTTTTAAGGGGCCAAGATTCCCCTATAAAATGATCTTGAATACGTTATTGATTAACATCCATTTTTTTATACAACTTAAAATGGCAAACAAGCTGACAGCCCACCTGATAAAATGTGGTAACCATCACGTATAGACATGAGCAGTACCATGTATGTCAGTACCATCCATAGCTGACAATTCCTTCTCCCTATCTAATTCCTTCCTTCTTCACATCAAATTGCAGGTTCTCGATATCCTGGCCAAGGTTGCTTCCATTAGGCTTGGCCAACTACGTCAGTAAAGATGGAGCTGCATATTACAATAACTTGATAAATGAGCTGCTGAGAAAAGGCATTCAACCTATCGTCACGTTGCATCATTTCGACTTGCCACAGTCCCTTCAGGATCTTGGTATGTTCATTGCTTAAATTATATACATAGATAGAGCATCGAGCCATAAAAATAGGTCCACTTTTAAGCTAATTGTCAAATTTAAAACTAAGCTAATTGTCAAATTAGCTGACAAAAAGTTATTTATATATATCTTATATATAAAATTCTCGTGTCATAGTGTTTGTTACCAAACTCCTCCGAAACGGCTTTATCGATATTTATGAAATTTTGTTTGCATATTGGGTACATCTGAGAATCGGTCAACATCTATTTTTCATACCCCTCAATGATAAGGGTGATCCGCCCCTAAATATATTTTTTTTATTTCTTGACAAATTTTTTTATTTTTATTTTGTTATGATTTAGCATTGAAAAATACATATAGCTTCAAACTTTTACCCTTCTACGATTAACCCCTGTTTTTTAATCGCGATTTTTATATATAATAATAATTGTAGTAAATTATCATGCATAGTTCTCGATATATATATATATATATATATATATATATATATATATATATATATATAATATATATATATATATATATATATATATATATATATCAGAATCTCGTTTTTATTGAAGTCGATTAAAACCATATCTATCCAACTATATAGAAGAACATTCTTCCAGGTGGCTGGACTAACCCCACAATATCTGAATGGTTTACCGACTACGCCCGAGTGGCGTATTCCCTCTACGCGGACAGAGTCAAAACGTGGATAACTATTAATGAGCCCATAATTATTTGCGACTATTCGTACGGCACGGGAAATTTGCCGCCGCTCGTGAAAGATCCTATGTTGGCACCGTACTTGTGCAATAAGAACATTTTAATATCCCATGCTAAAGCGTGGAGGCTTTACGATAAGGAATACAGACCGCTTTACCATGGTAAGTTGATTGTTTTCTCCATTACATTTGTTTTTTTTTATGTATACTCCGTTTGGGCTCTTTATAATATGGTTGAAAATGACGGCTGGTTTTTTTTTTATGCAACTTAGAATGACAAACAGACTGATGGTCCACCTGATGGAAAGTGGTAACCGTCGCCTATAGACATGAGCAGTACCATGGACATAACAGAGTATACTGTTTCGCCCATGATACCCCCCCATGCGTTGCCATTCAATTTATTCGTCATACTTGTGAACAGATACTTTTTGTAGAGACTGGTATGTTCAGGAATACTGCGATTGGTTTTTTTTTGTTGGGTAAAAATGGTATGGTAACTCCGCTCGCGCTAACGGGATACGCTGGCGGAGCACCAGTGAAGGGTGATAGATGAGAATGAAAACAGGCCAGTTCGCCCATCATGATGAATTCATCAGGAATTAACCATGATAGTTTCCAGGGAGAACCGCGAGGAGGTCGACCTGGTTGGGTATATTGCTAGCAACGGGATTCTCAGTCTCCATTACTAACAATCCCTTTCCCCCCTACTGCGATAGGTTGTAGTTTTTACTATACGAGTAATAACAATGATACAATATTTAATGTTTGTAACACTTATTATATCCATTCATATTCTTTTTTATTTTATTTTTTTAACTTGTAACTTCAAATTTTGCTTGAAAAAGCAACAGCTGAGTTTCTTGCCTTTTCTCCGCAAAAATTACATTCTAAACTGGGCGGTGGATTTATAAAAAAATAATTTTCAAAAATGTTTAAAAAGACTTTTTTTGGATTAAAAATAATTTTTATTTATTTATCAACTTTCGAAAATAATGAGTGTCTTAATTTGGTTGTATTTTTTTTTATGTTTCCTCATATCATATTAGTCTTTAACTGTCTATTGCTGATTATAAGCTTCCCTCTTAGGGGGGTTTGCTAGTAGTTGCCATGCTTGGCAGACGGGTTGGCAGCCGCAGTTAGGCTTTTAGAGATGTTTTAAGAAGGACGCTGCTGCACATCCCTCGCCGTCTTTTAGACGACTCTTATCACACCCACGGGAAAGGAAAGAAAATGTAATAAACCAACTATATCTTAATAAATTAACAACAAATCCAGTATTGCAAGGAATTTTAGGCGCAAATGGAAAATATATTCCAAACGGAATAGAAATTCTTACACAGCCAACTAATGTGCCGGGTGGCCCATTCTATACCGGAGCACATTTGGTACGTTTTATATTTGTTACCTCATTATTTCGTCAATTATAAATTGTTTGATTTTTTTTTCGGTTAAAAGGATATACTTACAAATGGTTTTCATAGACATTTTATCAAAATCAGTTTAGTGGTTTAGTTTTTAAATTAAAACAACTGGTTTTGTTGGGGGAAGAAGGGATTGTTAGTACTCGTAATGGGGGTTAGTAGCCCCATTGCTAGCAGTCAGACCTGTCAGGTCGACCTCCTCGTGGTTCCCCCTGAAAACTATCATGATTGATTTATTGTTAGATTCATCACGGTGGGCTAACTGACCTGTTTCATCCTCACCTATCATCCCTCACTGGTGCTCCGCCAGTGTATACCGTTAGCGCAGGCGAGGTTACCATTCCATTATCATTAATTAAAAAAAAAAACTGGCTACGTCACAATTGAAATCGGTTTTTCATTGTGCAATACAATATTAAATTATCAACTTCTTTTTTATTGCCTTAATAAAAAAAAAAATAACAAGTTAATTCACTTAAGTAAAAAATTCCAAGTATTTTGTTGTCGCGAGTCGATGAGATGTCTGCATGGATCCTCGGAGATAAAATTTTATCAAAATGATTCGTTAGAGTAGTATTAACAAGTTACTTCATAACTTGGTGGTTAACGACCCCGTGTCTATTAAGACAAAGGTCATAAATTCAATGTTGATAACAAATCTACTCGTAATAATAAGAGAGGCCGCAGTAAGCTCGCCCACTATTTTGAACAGGTTTGAAGCAGTATGGTCAGTTGACAAACATCACAATAGCAAATAATATTTTATGTGTTCGACTGGCTTTTAAGCTTTAAATTACTCAACGGGCTATGGAGAGGGCTTTTTTCTTGATGGCTGAAAATGGTATGGTAACCCCGCCTGCGCTAACGGGATACGCTGGCGGAGCACCAGTGAAGGGTGATAGATGAGAATGAAGACAGGCCAGTTAGCCCATCAAGATGAATTCATCAGGAATTAACCATGATAGTTTCCAGGGAGAACCGCGGGGAGGTCGACCTGGTTGGCAATATACCCATTGCTAGCAATATACCCATTGCTAGCAATAGGATTCTCAGTTTCCATTACTAACAATCCTTTTCCCCCCTATGGAGAGGGCTATGCTCGGAATTTCTTTGAGTAATAGAATTCGGAATGAGAATATTCACAAAAGAACTAAAATAACCGACACAGCTCGAAGAATAAGCAAGCAGAAGTGGCAATGGGCTGGTCACATAGCTTGAAGAACCGGCAACTGATGAGAAAGAAATGTTCTTGGGTGGTGACCCCGTATGGGGAACGCAGTGTAGGATTAACTCCCACTAGATGTAGGGGCGACCTCAATACATTGCAGGGAGTCAGTGAATGCAGATGACTCAGGACCGTTCCTTATGACATATGTCCATGGAGGAGGCCTATGTTCAGCAGTGCGCAGATAATGGCTGAGATGATGATGCTGATGACTAGTTTTTGCCCGCGACTTTGTTCACGAGAACGGAATATATTCGCTGATTGAAATAAATATGTAGCCTACATTTTATATTTCTCTCCATCATATTGTATGTGTATATCAAATAGGCAGAGAGGTAACAAAAAAACTCACTTTCCAATATATTAGTAAGGATATTAGCAAGTTATCGTCAACATACTTTTAAATTAATTTAAAATTTAAATCATTTTTATTCAAATATACTTGTTTACTTTTAAATCGTAATTTTTTTTAAAACCTACTGCAGGTTTAAGAATGTTGTTATCTGTTGAGAAGAGCCCGCAAGAAACTCAATATAAATGTTTTTAATGTTTTTGATTGGAGGAGAGGGATTTTTAGTAATACGGACCTCCAGTGCAATTGCTAATAATATACCCTGTCAGGTGGACCTGCACGTAGTCCCTCCTGGAAACCATCGTGCTGTATTCCAGGTGCATTCATTACGATGGGCTAACTGATCTGCTTTTTTATACTAACTTATCATTTCTCACTGGTGCCTTTCCAGCGTATGCCGTTAACGTAGGCGGGGTTTTTTTTTTTTATGGGTGATAATGGAATGGTAACCCCACCCGCGCTATCGGAATACACCGGCGGGGCACCAGTGAAGGATGATAGGTGTGGATGAAGCAGGTCAGTTAGCCCATCGTGACGAATTCAACAAGAATTGTTCACGATGGTTTCCAGGGGGAACCACGTGGAGGTCGACCTATTAGAGCATATTGTTGGCAATGGGGCTGTCAAACTCCATTGCCAACAAACCCTTTCTCCCCTCGTAGGCGGGGTTAACATTTCATTATCATCTATTAAAAAAAAAATATTGATTGTAAACTGTTGTGTATACCTAATAAAATAAAACAAAAAAAAGACAATTTATTTGAATTGAAGCTTTATATTGTAATGCAACTTAGAACGGCCAATTAGCTGACTTGATGAAAAGTGGTAATCAACGCCTACAGACATAAACATTACCATGGACATAACAGAGTATACTGTTTCGCTCATGGTACCCCCATGCGTTGCCATTCCTGAAGACTCAGGTTTTATTTCTTTGTACCTTGTAAATTCGCTGCCATATCCCATCCTTTAAACCGAAACACAGTCATGCAAACACAACTGTTTCAAGGTAGAATCACGAATGAGACAAAGATGCCCAAGCAAACGACTTTTGTACAAAGTCGCCCCCTAGTAGAATTTTATTTTAATTTGCATTTTATAGATGTGTTAATTTGTTACAGGGGAGGTATCAATTACCAACCATTTAGTGTTTTATAAACCGGCAACGAACCACGATGTCGGACTTGCTGAGCTCGCTATGGAATTTTGTGTAAGTCTTTCTTGTATACTGTATCATGCGGCTTCACCCGCAGTCATAACGAGACGTTGAGTAGCTGATAACATTGAAAATGAGCTATCAAATGTAAACAGAATTTTTCAAATCCAACTGATAGTTCCATAGATTAGCGTGTTCAAACAAACAAATGGACTTTTACTTTATTATATTAAGCATAGGTAAAAAAGCAATTGAGTTACTTACCTGTTCTTCTCAATTGAAATTGTATTCCAAAATGGATGACGGATTCATAAAAAAAATACTATTTTAAAACAATAGGAGCCACAGACAGCTCTCTATGTCGAGGCTGTTACGACGCCGAAGAAACGGCTGCTCACGTAATCCTGGAATGTGAGGCTGTGGCCCATCAACGTTTAGAAATCCTCGGAACGGTGAGGTCGCTCCGTGAGGCCTGTGAAGAACCCAGGAAGCTTCTGCGCTTCTGGGCGGAGCTAGGTTGGCTGTACTAGCCACGATTCATACGCACAACGGCCCAAATGAGAGGCTAAGCGCGGAAAATGGTCTTTTTCTCATTCACATTCACATACTATTTCAAAAATTCAAACATTTATTAAAATTAACTGAATAAAAATTACGATCACACCATGGGATCCCGGCTTAAAATTGGACATGTTTTTAAAGGTACGCTACTGCCCATCCCTCGCCCTTTCTTAGTCGCCTCTTAGGGCACTTATAATGTTTATAATTATATATAATTAAAAAACTTATTAACTTACTTAACGAGGAATAACACCTGAGTCCTCAGGAATGGCAACGCATGGGGGGTATCGTGGGCGAAACAGTACCTATACTCTGTTATGTCCACGGTACTGTTCATGTCTATAGGCGACGGTTACCACTTTCCATCAAGTGGGCCGTCAGCTTGTTTGCCATTATAAGTTGCATAAAAAAACTTAATATTTTTTAATGACTTATTTTTTTTTAATCTATATTAACAGGTTAATAAAACTGTAATTTACTTACTAAAAAACGTATAGATTAACTTCGAATTTTTTTTTTTATTTTAAATTATTTATTCATTGTAAACAGACTGGGCGTTATTCGCATCCTATTTATTCTGAGGAGGGAGGATGGCCCCCAGTTATCGAGCAGTTAATGGCGGAAATCAGCAGAAACCAAGGTTACACACGGTCCAGGCTGCCTCCGTTCACAAAAGAAGAAATAGAACTAGTAAAAGGTATTACGTTTTTAGAATACGTCTTTCTTTTTTATACTACTATAGTGGCAGGCAAGCCTGGCCTGTCTGATGGTAAACGGTTTTTGAAGGCTGCACTAACCTTTTTAACCGGCTAACCTTTTTAAACGACTTCGACAAACAGTGTGGAGCTCGAACTGGGTGCATAATATATCTTTTAGGTGATCAAGATACTTTATTACAAGCTTAAGGAGAGGAGATGGCAAACTAACCCCCGGCAGAAGCACAGTCGGCCGGGGTTCAGGGCCCCAGGAAGAGAAACCGGCGTACAATGCGGGCATTATCTAAGAGAAGCTTTCTGTATCTTTCTGTAGCATTTTTTTTTAATTTTTTAATTTATATCTTTCTTGTTTTGTTAATTAATGCAGTGCATCCAGCATTGGATAATAACTGGAGCTCTCTAACATTAGGGAAACGTAATTCAAAAATGGACGACCGGTGACTGCTTGTAATATATAATATTAATATATATTTGCTTAAAGGTACATACGACTTCTACGCCATGAATCAATACACGAGTCGCATCGTAAGGCCTGCCAAGCCTGGTGAAGGTGTTGGCGCGTGGTTCTTCGACGGGTGGCCGGATATGAACGCTGTCCTAGAAGTCCCCAAGGAGTGGAAAATGGGTGTTGCTAAAGCTTTGGCGGTGAGATGTTATTTATGTTATGAAATTCATAAATTCGTCAGTAAATAGTAATTATTTACTGACGAAGTAAAATTACAATCTACAAATCTTTCTATTATAATAAAATACTTGATCAAGTTCCGATCTGGGGCGAACAAAATTTTGTCCAATTCTACCTTAAGAAAAAACAAGTCTGCGCGTTCACCGCCAAAAAGACCCTGTTTGTCTCCTATATTATCTTATCTCCTCACTTTCAAGGCACTTCTCTTGATAATAAGTCGAGTCTAGGGGTCTTTGGCGTTGATATATCTGACGACATCTAGTTTTGCGGTCATCTGGAGATAAAAGCTAAGATAGCTTTCAAAAAGTTAGGAGTGCTCAACAGAGTGAGACGGTATTTCACGTCTGAACACCGCCTGAAATTGTATAAAGCTCAAGTCAGGTCACATAGAATACTTTTCTCACCTATGGACAGGAACGCCATAGTACCAGCTCCTTCCGTTAGACCGCATTCAAAGTCGGGCGGCTCGAATTATTGATGATCTGTGCCTTACTGTCCGACTCGACCCACTGAAACTCCGTAGAGATGTTGCATCTTTGTGCATCTTCTACTGAATTTATCATGGCAAGTGCTCTGAGGAATTGTTTGGATTGATACCTGCTGCTGATTTTCACCACACAACAACTCGCCATAAATTAAAGTTTCATCCCAACCATCTGGACGAGTAGCGGTCTTGTAACCGTGCGTTTTTTAAGGCACTTTCTTTCACGCACAACCACTTCTCAACTTCTAGAAACAATATTTCCGAACCGATACGACATCCTAACCTTCGAGAAACGAGCATATTCCTTTTTAAAAGGCCGGTAGCACACCTGTAATGCCGTTGCTATTGTGGGTAATTATGGGTGGCGGCAGTCACTCATCATCAGGTGAGCCGCATGCTCGTTTGCCTCCTGTGTTGTTTACAACATCATCTGTATTATAGAAAAAATACTAGACGATGTGAATAGATAACTGCCGTGTACTCCCGGTATGGAGTAAGCCACCCATTCCTTTCCCGTGGGTGTCGTAAGAGACGACTAAGGTAACTTAATGGTAGAGAGATAGGTAGCAGCGTTGCTCTTAAAAAATCATTATAAGCCTCACTCCGGTTGCCAACCCGCCTGTCAAGCGTGGCAACTACTGGCAAAACTCCCCTTATGGGGAAGGCTTATGTCCAGCAGTGGACAGTTAACTATATGATGTTTGTAGATGAAAGATATTTAAGTTAAATTTATAACAGGGATTTTAATAAGAGCTATAGAAGTTAAAACAATATTTTTTAGAAATTTTGTCTGTCTTATTTGTCTGTACGTGTGTTCTGGAATCATGCAAAAATTACTGCATTTAATCTAATTCTGAAACTTATGCTTACGAAGTAGCTAGTAAAAGTTACCAGAGGGACACTTTGTACAAAATTCGTTTGCTTGGGCACCTCTGCCCCATTCGTGTATCTAGTGTAAAACAATTGTGTTTGCATGGCTGTGTTTCGGTTTGAAGGGTGGGATATAGCAGTGAATTTACAGTGTACAGAAAAATACCACATGAGCAATACATGGGGGGTATCATGGGCGAAACAGTATACTCTGTTATGTCCATGGTACTGCTCATGTCTATAGGCGACGGTTACCACTTTTCATGTCTTTATCATTTGTTCTAGCATCCCGCAAGAACTCCTCTACCAAATTGTATGCGGGTTTTACTGTTGTGTTCTGGCAGATTTAACCCGAAATCTGGTGTATGTTTTATTTTGATCTAAACTTTATATCCACCTGTTTAAAGTTAATTTCTATTCTATTGCAGATGTATCCAGAAGGAATAAGGCAACAGATGCTATGGCTCAAGAAGCATTATGGCAACATCAAAATTCTCATCACCGAGAACGGATACTCTGTGCGGGGTGATGGAGTCGATGATGATGATCAAATTGATTATATGAAGCAGTATATGGAACAAGTTAGATTATAGTAATTTAATATTTTAACATTTAACTTACTAACATTATTTCTACTAGTAGGTTAGTGTATTCATCTTTAGAAAGCTATACTATCAGCGAGTCACATAGGCTGTATTTTATTTTAAAAAAAAACATGCGAATTCAGGGCGTGCCGTTAGTTATCTAATTTTAGTTATCCAGGTCACTCAGAAAGTACAGCGAGAAAAAGTTTTTATGTATATGAGACTGGCCAGTTATAATTTTTTTAAAAATATGTTTACTTATAAATAAAAATAGGTACGTTCTAAATTCAAAACTTCCCTCCACATTTTTTGCGAGCTAATTAAAATTAGCGTGTCTCATTGAAAAATGGATTTGCGTCGAGAACATTTTCACGCTATGATTTTTTACTGTAACCAGACGAATCGTACGATAGACTTCAAATGGCATTCATGGATGAAAACCCTTCTAAGGCAACCGTGTATCGTTAGTATAATGAATTTAAGCGCGGTCGACTAATTTTAGGGGATGAAGAAAGAAGTGGTCGCCTTTTGAATGAAACTTTGTATAGAGGCTGGTGGAGAGTACTTTGAAAAGATGTAACAAAAATATATTTACATATAGAACATTTTTTTAGTGTCGCAAAACTTTCTGAGAGTCCTACGTATGTATAAAGATGGAGATAAAATTTTAATCGATCTTAATCACGAGACAGGAGTCGTAAATCGTAAGATAATTAAATTAGCAGTTAGTCTGGATATTGCGAAGGCCTTTGATCGGGTGTGGCATAGAGCGCTGCTTTCAAAGCTACCTTCATTTGGGTTGCCTGCGAGACTGTGCATTTGGGTCGCCAGTTTTCTCAAGGAACGTAGCATTAAGGTCGTAGTCGACGGTGCATGCTCTGATTTAAAACCTTTGAATGCTGGTGTCCCGCAAGGCTGTGTACTATCTCCGACTCTGTTTCTTCTGCATATCAATGATATGTTACAGATAAGTAATATTCATTGCTATGCGGACGACAGTACAGGAGATACATTATATACCGGTCATGCAAAGATCTCGCGGGCACATACCGATGAGTGCCGGAATAGACTTGTGTCTGAAATCGAAACTTCACTCCATCAAGTTTCGATCTGGGGTGAACAAAATCTTGTCCAATTTAACCCCAAAAAGACACAAGTCTGCGCGTTTACCGCAAAAAAGACGCCGTTTGTCGTATCTCCTCACTTTCAGGGCACTTCCCTCGATAAAAAGTCAAGTCTAGGAATTCTGGGCGTTGATATATCTTGCGACGTCCAGTTTTGCGGTCATCTGGAGGAGAAGGCTAAGATAGCTTCCAAAAAGTTAGGAGTGCTCAATAGGGTGAGACGATATTTCATGCCAGAACACCGCCTGAAATTATATAAAGCCCAAGTCAGGCCGCATATGGAATACTGTTCTCACCTGTGGGCAGGAGCGCCACAGTACCAACTCCTTCCGTTAGACCGCATTCAAAGTCGGGCGGCTCGAATTATCGATAGTCAACGCCTTACTGTCCGACTTGACCCATTGAAACTGCGCAGAGATGTTGCATCTCTGTGCATCTTCTACCGAATTTATCATGGGGAGTGTTCTGAGGAATTGTTCGGATTGATACCTGCTGCTGATTTTCACCACCGTACAACCCGCCACAAACTAAAGTTTCATCCCAATCATCTGGACGAGTGGCGGTCTTCCACCGTGCGTTTTTCAAGGCACTTTCTTCCACGCACAACCATTTTTTGGAATCAACTTCCAGCAGCAGTATTTCCGAACCGATACGACAACATAACCTTCAAGAAAAGAGTATATTCCTTTTTAAAAGGCCGGCAGCACACCTGCAATGCCGCTGGTGTTGTGGGTGATCATGGGCGGCGGTAGTCACTTACCATCAGGTGAGCCGCATGCTCGTTTGCCCCCTGTGTTGTAAAAAAAAAAAAAAAAAATCTTCCAAATAACTTATAAAAAAAAGAAGAAGAATTTGGTTATATGCTTTGTTTGTTACCTCATAACTCCGTCATTGATTAGTTCCATTAAAATTTCATCAAAATAGGTCCAGTAGCTTAGTTTTTAAATCTTTATTTTTTGCCCCGATAGAAGTCGGTAGTTAATTTTAAACTTTCCCATTGTTTACGTATATTGGAAATACATAATCGGGACTTAACGCGATGCAAATGCTTTTACAGGTAAATAGTATCTACATACCTGCTTCTTTATTACCGACGTTGCGATGTGGACTGTACCACATCGTAGCCAGGATAGGACTTTTACATGTGGCTTTTACATCGTGTTAACTCCCGATTGTGTAATTAAAAAATGTTCTATGGTTCTTGCTGAAAAACAGCGCTGTAGCGCTTCAAGCGCTGCAGCAATACTGTTTATAATTACTCCTCTCCATCCAAAGGTTGCCTGGAAGAGATCGCTCTTAGCGATAAGGTCGCCCATTGTTTTCTCATTGTGATTATTTCTTGTAATTATTTATATTTATAATAAGTTTACTATTGTAATCTTTTGGAGGAAACAATAAAGAGTATCTATCTATCTATCTATCTATCTATCTATCTATCTATCTATCTATCTATCTATCTATCTATCAATATGCTGAGCACGGACCTACATCACAGAACATTGCGACACACACGCGCGCACGCGTACATTATAATTTAATTGCTATCTATTTGTATATAATTATTATTTTCTTTTGTTTCTTTTGTTTTTGATTTCTTTTGTTTTTGTTTTGTGCGCTACTGTGTGGGCCGCATGTTTCTTTTGATTAAATTATTTCTTTCTTTCTTTCTTTCTAGACATGGGTAATATCTGTACCACTCCAATAGCTATATATTGGTTATTCCACTTAGGATAATGACGGCGGAAAAAAGGGTCATCATCCATTTCGACGTCGTCCATATCAGTCGGATATCTATGTTCATTTCGACCTGATGCCTAATTTTGTTTTTTTTTTATACAACTTAGAATGGCAAACAAGCTGACGGCCCACCTGATGGAAAGTGGTAACCGTCGCCTATACACATGAGCAGTACCGTGGACATAACAGAGTATAATGTTTCGCCCATGATACCCCCTATGCGTTGCCATTCCTGAGGACTCAGGTGTTATTCCTCTGTACCCATTAAATTCACGCCATATCCCACCCTTCAAACCGAAACACAGCCATGCAAATACAACTGCTTCACGGTTGAAACACGAATGCGACAGAGGTACCCGAGCAATCGACTTCTGTACAAAGTCCCCGCTATTGTATTTATATATATATACTATACTATTTATATATATATTATTATATCAATATATAGATATTGTAACTACAATATATATATATATATATATATATATATATATATATATATATTGCTGTATATTACTCAACCATAAATGTTACACAGGTGCTTTTGTCTATGAAAGAAGATGGAGTTAAAGTTACGGGCTACGGAGTGTGGTCACTAATGGACAATTTCGAATGGTCAGACGGATACAGGTAAACAATCTATGTAGCCAGAGAGGAACCAGTATAAAACTTCTGTTCAGTAGGACTTCTGTCCTTGTTTAATCTACTTTTAAATGTACTTACTACCTATTCATGTCATTTATGAATATCAGCCTTTATCCACTGCTAAACATAGGCCTCCTTCATAAGGGGGATTTCTCCAGTAATTACCACGCTTGGCAGGCGAATTGGCAACGGTAGTTAGGCTTTGGAGATGTTTTAAGAAGGACACTGCTACTCATCCTTCACTCTCCCTTATTCACCTCTTAAAACACCCACGGGAAAGGAAAGGGTGGCCTATTCTATGCGGGGACCCGTCCCGGCTTCGCACAGGTGGACATTTTTACATTTTAAAAAGTGGCCATTAAGGCTGCACACGCGACGAAAACTTAAAAATAGAGTAACTTCTCCCATTTTCCCAACATTTCCCTTCACTGTTCTGCTCCTATTGATCGTAGCGTGATGAAAAGTATACTATAACCTGCCCAGGAGTATGAAGAATAATTGTACCAAGTTTCGTTAAAATTCGTCGAGTAGTTTTTGTTTCTATAACGAACATACAGAGAGAGACAAAAATTTTACTGATTACATTTTTGGCATTAGTATCGATTAATAATCACCCCTTGATAGTTATTTTTGGAAATAGATTTCATGTACAGAATTGACCTCTCTACAGATTTATTATAAGTATAGATTACTTACTGTTACAGACCGAGATTTGGCCTCTATGAAGTGGACTTCAGCGACCCAAAGAGACCCCGGTATCCCAGGAAATCGGCGTATTACTATGCCAATATTATAAAAGGACGCTCCATGAATGCAACTGATGTATTCAATCATGTCGATGACGGAAGACATTGAAGACTGATTTTGTATGTAGAAATAATTGTGCTATATGTAGCATGATAGTATTAGAAACAATTTGTATTTAAATATAATTATATATGATAAATAAATTTATATAGATGACAATTTTATATGTCGTCACCTTTATGGTAAACTTACGAAACTGAAAAAGATTCATTTTACAGGGGAACGTTTTGTAACATTAGAATGCAAATAACTTTTGATAGAAGACTACTGTAAAAGATCATGCTAACATTTTAGTTTTAAAATCCTATTTTTTATTGAATGCGCTTAATTAATTATTATATATAATACAAGTATTAGAAATAAATGCACATTCGTTACTTTTCACCTTCATACATGAGAGTTCCTAGGTATTGAGTTATACAACAGCAAATCTACGAAAGTGGCAATTTCGTAAGTTGTCAAAGAAAATTCTTTATTTTAATATCTGGCAAACTAAAGAAAGTGCCACATTTGTAAATATACCAAGGTATAAATCACGTGTTTTGGAGAGAACTTCAGTTTAATTAACAATGTTATAGCAATCATTCATGTAAAATAACTGAATTACGATTGTAAAATTGATGAAATAATTATTGAAATTTCCAAATTAAAGTGTTTATTATAAAAAATACTATAAAAATATGCTAAGTTTACTTTGGGTATATCACAAAAATATGGAGATTCGAGCTATTCGATTTCTTTAACCGTTAGAGATAGAAATTTGAAAATAAGCCACAATAAGTAGCATGACGCCAAAAGTAGATTTTTAAAAAAACGTCAAATTTGAAAAAACTGCAGATTCGTAAATTTGCCATAGAGGTGACGATATGCTTTTTGTACCAGAGGGAGATTTTTTACACTTACATTTACCAACTCATGTTAGTAAATCCTAAAATTTATTAGTTAAATTAAAGATTAGCCAATGTACAAGCTTTACAGTAATATATATTCTATGTGTGTGTAGAAAAAACCCCGAACCAATACACAAAACCAGATGAAGACTGTACTGTAGTTTGCTTGGGTACCTCTGTCCCATTTGTTTTTACCCTTAAACAGTTATGTTTGTTAAGCTTTGTTTCGGTTTGAAGGGTGGGATATGGCAGTGAAATTACAGGATACGGAGGCATAACACCTAAGTTCTCAGAAATAGCAACGCATTGGAGGTATCATGGATGAAACAGTAGTAAGTACTCTGTTATGTCCATGGTACTGCTCATGTCTATAGGCGACGGTTACCACTTTCCATCAGGTAGGCCGTCAGCTTGTTTGCCAATTTAAGTTGCATTAAAAATATGATAAAACAATATAATAAAATATTATAAATATAAAGGTTTTATTCTTAAAAAAAAAACGAAAAATGACATTAACTTCAAATGCAGCAAAATTATTTGGTTTTGCCGCGACTGAAGTCGGTTATTTTGATTTACGTAAAAACCAAACGATTGAATTGATTTCATGAAGTTTCTATAGGACCGAAGTGAAAGTATATCCTTTCAGATAAAAAAAAAAAAGAATTGTCCAAATCGGTTTATAAATGATCGAGTTATGAGGTAATAAAAATATACAAACATATATATTAAATATTTATTTAATTTACAATTTTTTTATAAATCTATGCACCGCCATTTACTCTCTCTGTTGCTCGTAACGGTTGACTGGTAGAGAATGCCATCAGGCATTAAGTCCGCCCTGTACACATATTTTAATGTATGCAAAAGTATAAATAAATAAATATGTTTTCAGATTGGTTTCATAAAAAAGTTATCAAAATCGGTTCGGTGGTTTAGTTTTTAAACCAAAATAACTGGTTATTTTACATTTGAAGACGAAGTTTTTTTTTGTTTAACAAATCTTAAATTATTGATTTGTACTATTATTAGACGTCAACAGTTTGTTTGTTTGTAACACTTTATCGTCTTAAATTATAGGATACAGAGTTTTTAAGAAAATAATTAGTACAGTGGCGGACTTATAGTCAACTTTTAAATGTCTGATATAAATTATGAATTCGTGGAGACAAAAAAAAATAATAGCTAATTAAAAACAACGACAAAAAAAATGAAAAAATAATTGAATCAAATTATAATAAGGTTTAATGCATTAATTTTGAATATATCTTATAATTCGTCATATAGGTATTTGACGGGAACAAGTGCATGGTTAACGATCACTTTCCTGTAGTACTCCGCGGACTTTCGGGGACTGCGTGACCTCTGCGGATCTTCAAAGTCGACTTTGTACAGACCAAATTTCACACTGCAACAAACATTTGAATGAATGAACGAATGAGTATACTTTATTTGCATTATACAATATAGCAAATAAGCAAGACAATTTACAAACACAACGATTCAATTGTATAAGTACAGTAAGGCGGTCTTATTGCTGAGAGCAATCTTTTCAAGACAACCTTAAGGTAATAGACTAATTGCTGTACAAGTAGGTATGATAGTGCTGTATAATTAAAAAAGCTTCTTTTCCAATCAATCGCGTCCGCTGAGCGGACATATAGAAAATAATGTCATATATACTGTTTTGTCTAAACTAGCTTGGCGATAAGCTTAAATTATTGTAAACAAACCACCTCTTGTCCCTGACGCCAAGAATGTACGTAAAATAATGAAATAGGAGATCCACTTAAATGTCAATTGAAGAGGGACTTTTTGGGCCATGTTTATAAACAAGTGCTGTATAAAAAATGTATTGGAACATAGGCCATTTTATTTTTATTTTATCAAGTTATTATAATATTGTACAAAAAACATATAATTTTACATCCAGCAAGGTCTTAGTTTTTTAATAATTAAAAATAAAAGGTAAGCTAGGTGACCCCATTTTATTTCTCACAGAACAGTTGCCATGCAATTCAAAGTTGAGTGTAGTGTAAGAAATTACATAAAGAAATCTAGTTGGAATATAAATCTAAACTGAATTTTGTATAATTCCAATTAGATTTCAAGAAGATCAAGTTTTTTAAACCTATACGCTAAAAATACCTAGTCTGTGCAAAGTCCGCTCACAGGACACCACAGATATGGATTTTCCACCATTTTGCATGACACAGTTGAAAGGTTAGTTTAAACTCACCTGTATCCCTCGAACCATTCCAAATTGTCCATAAGGCTCCAAACGGTGTATCCAATAACATCAATATTATCTTCATGTATTGACAGAAGCACCTGATATGAATTGTTTTATCAATAAAGATGTAAGAACAGGGAATCAATTTACATAGTTATGCCTCTGTTTAAAGTAATGATGTATGGAAGATTGAAAATATTTGAATCTATAGTCTGTTTAATGGATTTTTTTTATACCACTGAGGTGGCAATCAAGCATACAGTCCACCTGATGGTAAGCGGTTAACGTAGCCTATAAACGCCTGCAATTCCAGGGGTATTACGCGTGAGTTGCCGACCCTGAAGAAACCTCTTTACCCCCCTTTGAAGAGGCCCATGCTGTAGTCTCTTGGGAAATCCTCGGCAGGGAGCTAAAGTTAACCAAGTTTGTTGTTGAAGAAAGGGGGGGATTTTTAGTAATGCGGACTAATACTCCCGTTGCTAGCAATACACCCCGTCAGGTCGAACTCCGCGCGGTCTCCCCTCGAAACCGTCGTGCTGAATTCCAAGCGTATTAATCACGATGGGCTAACTGACCTGCCTTTTCATTCTCACCTATCATCTGGTGTCCTGCCAGCGTATACCGTTACCGCGAGCGGGCACTAAAATACTACATAGCATTAAGTCCGTCTTTGGTACCATTTTTTTTTGTAATTCTGGCCAACTTAATATAATTGTTCTGCAATATTTAGCGTTACATAGGTGTGTAAATTTTCTTTTTACAATTACTAAAGTAATACAGGCATAATATTGTAATGTGGTCAATGAAAAAAAAAAAAAAAAACTAGTAAAAAAATAATTAAATAAACCTGTTCCAAATGGTCATGTATGAACTGAATTCGGTCAATATCGTGCAATTCTTTCTCCTCTCTGTTGGGGTATCCGTTTTCTGTGATGAATATTTGTATGTCGCCATAGTTATTTTTCAGCCATGACATCATGTGTCGAAGACCCGCGGGGAAAGTCTGTAAGAATTTTTTTTTCAATAAGACGTACGTGTGTGGGAGAAAAAGATTATTAATAATTATTATTTCTCTGTTTGCCCAATGGTTGACTGGTAGAGAACACCGTTCGGTGTTAAATCCGCCAAATGTACGTAGAATTTTACTGTGCATTAAAGTTTTAAATAAGTAAATATTTTAACAAAGTATGACTTTGTACAGTAATTGTTTTCCACAAAAAAAGAAACCCACTTTTGTGTTTTTACACACAATTTTGTTACAACTAGTTATGTTGATATAAAACTTAACTATTGAACTGTTTATGATAATTTTTTTTATGGGATCAATCTGTAAGATCAATTTTCCAGAATAAAAATTAATTTTCTAAATCGGTTTACAATTGACGGAGTTATGAGGTAATAAATATAAAAAAATAACTGAATGGTGTTTCGATCCGAAACATAGATTTAATTCTTGTACATTATTACTGTATATATAAAAAAAAGCTATTAACATATTACAATAAAAAGTTATTAAAAAATGGCTCCGTAAGGAAGGAACAGAATTAATACGTGGTTTCATTTTATAAAATTTTCCAAAGTAATATTATCCACCTAATAACCTGCGGAGGGGGGAAAGGGATTGTTAGTAATGGAGACTGAGAATCTAGCAATATACCCAACCAGGTCGACCTCCTCGCCGTTCTCCCTGGAAACAATCATGGTTAATTCCTGATGAATTCATCATGATGGGCTAACTGGCTTGTTTTCATTCTCATCTATAACCCTTCACTGGTGCTCCGCCAGCGCATCCCGTTAGCGCAGGTGGGGTTACCATACCATTTTCACCCATAAAAAAAAAATAACCTGCGGAGACAAATTAACTATCTTTCACGGACTATCCAAATGGAGAATAGATTCGGTACTTACTACAAACACATCGATTTGACTTTTCCCCCATTCTGGTAGGGTGTCTGTAGCAATACCAAATTCAAGTGAACCAAATATGGGCCAAGGTCCAGCTATTTCCCCATCCTTTAAAGGTCGCACTACACGAGACGTGTAGTAATTCAGCGCGTAAAAGTCGTAAGTACCTGAAAGCCATAGTTATTCATTTAACTTAATAGCTTTGAATAGCTCTGTAAATTATTGATGCCCATTTTTTTTTGTACAACTTAGAATGGCAAACAAGCTGCCGGCCCACTTGATGGAAAGTGGTAACCGTCGCCTATAGACATGAGCAGTACCATGGACATAACAGAGTATACTGTTTTGCCCATGATACCCCTCATGCGTTGCCATTTCTAAGGACTCAGGTGTAATTCCTCTGTACCCAGTAAATTCACCCCATATCCCACCCTTCAAACCGAAACACAGCCATGCAAATATAACTTCTTCACGGTAGAAACACGAATGGGACAGAGGTACCCAAGCAATCGACTTTTGTACAAAGTTTCCCTGGTAAACTTTGTAAATTCACCCTTTAAACCGAAACACAGCAATCCACAGCTGCTTCACGACAGAAACACGAGTGGGAGGGAGATACAACTATCTGTTGCTAAACACAGCCACCCCTATAAGGCGGGTGGTTGAACACAGCCATCCCTATAAGGGGGATTTTGCCAGTAGTTATCACGCTTGGCAGGCGGGTTGACAGCCGCAGTTTAGCTTTTGGTGGCGTTTTAAGAGGGACGCTGCTACCCGTCACTGTACCATAAGCTCTCTTAATCGTCTCTTACGACACCCAGGGAGAGGAATATATGTTACTGTAAAGCTTGTACATTGGTAAATCTGATTTATTAGTAAATTTTAGAATTTACTAAAATGTGTTGGTAAATTTATTAAAAAAGGATCACATTTCTGACTTTTACTAAAATTTGTGGGCAAATCCTAAGGTTTTGATAGTTAAACCTAAAAATTATCAACATACGGCCTTTTTACAGTAACATATAAATATATTTATATTTAGTATATATTTTACCTCGAATCAAGTTTATTTCTTCATTAGAAAAAGCAGGAAGTCTAGACCGAGGGTAACCTTCTTTTTTGCTTTTTTCCGCAATTATCTCCTCGATGCCAGGAGGCCAGCCCCCTTTTTCGGAATAGATGGGATGTGAATAAATACCAGTCTGTAATTAAATGTCTCTTGTTAAGAACATACTAGCTATCAAATTATTCAGCGAGCCATTGAGAGGGCTATGCTCGGCGTTTCTTTGCGTGATAGAATCCGAAACGAGGATATCCGCAAAAGAACCAAAATAACTGACATAGCCCGAAGGATAAGCAAGCTGAAGTTGTAATGGGCTGGTCACATAGCTCGAAGAACCGACAAGCGATGGGGAAGAATGGTTTCTGAGTGGCGAACGCGTACAAGTAAATGCAGTGTAGGATGACCCCTACAAGATGGAGTGACGACCTCAAATGCAGTGCATAAAGTCAGTGGATGCAAGTGGCCCAGGACCGTTCTTTATGGTAGTCTATGGGGAGGCTTATGTCCAGCAGTGGACGGTTAATGGCTGAAACAATGATGATGATACAACAGGAGAGTATGATGAAGGAAAACGAAAAGAGAACACAGAAAAATAATACTAAAGGGAAAGGTAGTAGGATTTAACAGAGGTTTTGAAGCTAATGAGAGTTTAAGCGAATAGATGCAAATACATATATACAAAAGGAGAAACATAAGCCTCCCCTTGGAAGGTTTTGCCAGTAGTTCCTATGCTTGGCAGGCAGATTGTCAACCGCAGTTAGGCGTTAGAGATGTTTTAAGAGAGACACTTTCTAACATCGTAGGGCTCGCCATCGACAGGGAGTTCATCCTTATGTCCTACAGCCTCAATGGTCGAGCACTGCGCGGTTTCAGAGATGTTTGCTCCCACGAACATTCAGGTTGTGGAATGAGCTCCCTGCCGAGGATTTCCCAAGAGACTACAGCATGGGGTTCTTCAAAAGGAGGGTAAAGAGGTTTCTTCAGGGTCGGCAACGCACGCGTAATACCTCTGGTATTGCAGGTATTCATAGGCTATGGTAACTACTTACCATTAGGTGGGCCGTATGCTTGTTTGCCACCTCAGTGGTATAAAAAAAAGACACTGCTGCCCACCCCTTTTCCCCCTTAGTCGCCTCTTACGACACCCACTGGAAAGGAAGGGGTAACCTATTCTATGCCGGGACCATACGGCCATCATCATCATCATTGTAACGTATTTGCCAAGAATTAACTATCGTTTCCATAAGGAACTGCATGAAGATCGTCCTAATAGAGCGATTGAATCCTATTATTAAGCATCCTTTTTTCCCAAATTTCATTAGTATTGGAATAAAGGAGTACCGTACCGACAATTGGTTAAGAAATTCCACCGTCTCTTTATCAGCAGGCGATATCTCTTCATACCATATTAGCTGGTTTGCAATCGACACCTTTCCTGTAACGATTTCCATAAACTGGTTCCATAAAATTGATAAGAATGACGAGTTTCTTACAATAACAATGTTATGTAGTTTAATATGTTAATGACATACTTATAAAATCGTCTGTCTTGTCTGATGTTCAATGCACAGCCAAACCTATTAAGTAAGCTGACACTTGCTACATAGGTTTATTTTACAAATTTAATGTAAGAATTTGATAAGAAAGGATTTTTGAAAATTCTAACTTTAATAGGAAACGCGTGGTGTCGCGTGCACAACCGTGGGCAACAGTTAATTTGTAATAAAATTATTTGTTCTAGTTCCTCAATATAATATATATAATATATATAAGTATACTTTAATATCTAAACTTAATTTAGGCAAAAATAAATAAATCAGGCATAATTTTTATTCGGAGTACATAGATAAAATTGACTGTTGACTGACGATTGAATGTAAAAGTATAAATAAATAAATTAAATATATAAAATTTATCTCGAAGAAACTTTATACTTTATAATATTTATGTATAAAGTTTATACAACTTGAATTGGTAAATAAGTTGTCGACCTACCTAATGGAAAGTCATAATTGCCATCAAAAGACATAAACGGTACATTGGCGTTACAGATTCAGAGAATTCAATGTAACAAATTCAAAACATACTTATTTAAACAGACTTGTTTACAAGCTCTTTCAAATCTTCGCCTTCTATTATTCTAGTTTTGGTTTCGGACTTAACAGTAATTATAAATCTCTCTTAACATTATGCATATTTATTTAAATTTACTACGTCTAAAATAATACGCTCATTTAAAAAGATTGCATGATCTATTAAAACAATGCACATTTGTCGTTCAAGTAATCTTTTTGTATGTAAAACAAGTTTCGCTCTTAGTTATATTTCCATTAACAACCATCTTCTCTTTACCATGGTACCTCTTTGCCATTCTTGAAAATCAATGTGATATACCTCCGTGCCCAGTATTTTACTGCCTTATGCTTTGCAGCAAAAACACCAAGTTGGCAACACACGTTGGCTAAAGATAATCTTTATGCTTGTTTAGTTTTTGTTGGAAAAGTAAAGTCCTTACCATGAAATCTCAGCTTGAATTCTTCATCGTAAATTCTCCAAGCTTTCGCATGAGCCAACAAAACATGTTTTGAGCACAAATAAGTTGCAACATATGGATCAATAGTTCCCGGTGCCATTTTACCAGAATTATACGCGAAGTCACAGAAGATTAGTGGCTCGTTGATGGTTATCCAAAATTTTACTCTGTCAGCGTACAAGGAGTATACGATTCTGGCATAATCAGCGAACCAGTCCGATATTAGAGGATTGGTCCAACCACCTGAAATGTTCAAGACCAGTTTTAGTTCTTAACTTGGACGTAGCAAAGTTTTTAAATCTATTCCCTGATGACGAGAACAAATTAATTTTGATTTGATTTCGTTTGAAACAATGTCATCACCCTTCATCTTGGACAAATTTTTGTGTGACATAGCTGTGACAATGAAAAAATAAAAGGCTATTGCGTATCCTACGATGCCTGTCTTAGATCTTGGTGCCTCTTGACGCACAGCGGTTCTGGGTGCTCGATCAACCGCGTGAAGGTCGACTTGTTAGGGTATATTGCTAGCAATGGGGCTGTTAGTATCCATTACTAACAATACGTTCCTCCTGTCCGCCGAGCGTGTATGAGTGGGTGTATGTCTGTTCTTTAAAATATGAAATTTTGTCTGTAAATGCATTGATGTATTTACCAAGATCCTGTAAGCGCTGTGGCAAATCCCAATGGAATATAGTGACCATAGGTTCTATTCCTTTCTCCAAGAGTCCATCAATTAAGTCACTGTAATATTTGTTCCCATCTTCGCTAACATAGTTGGAAATTCCAGAGGGCAAAAGTCGGGTCCAAGATATGGAGAATCTGAAAAATACCATAATGTATGTGATAATTCATTATCTTTAAATCGTCGTGAATACCCACTAGTCGCGGAGTAACGAGTGGGTCTGCTGAATTGCCAACAGAAAAATGCTGTAGTGTTTAGCTTTCACTTCACTTTTGCATTATACCGCAAAAAAATTAGTCTATACTAATATTATAAAGAGGAAAGAATTTATTTCTTGTATGTTCGTTTGTTTGAAATGGAAAAATTTGAAAACTACTATACAATAACAATAAAAACCGCATGGGTATCGACATTATAGGCTATTTTGTTGGCAATGGAGCAATATATTTTTAAAGAAAATGGAATGGTAACCCCACCCGCGCTATCGGTATACACTAGCAGGGTACCAGTGATAAATAATAGATGAGGATGAAGGCAGGTCAGTTGGCCCATCGTGAAGAATTCGACAAGAATTACCCACAACGGTTTCTAGGGGGAACTGCGTGGAGATTGACTTGTTAGGGTATATTGCTGACAATGGAGCGGTTGAACCTTGGTCATAACAACTCTTTTCCTTTCCAGGGACGTACTTACCTATAGTGATGAAGTCCTAACTCGGCGGCTATCTGTACATCTTTCTTCCACTGATGATAAGAGTCGCATGCTACATCACCCGTGTGTCCGTTGTGTATCACATCGGATCGTGCATGTGTGAACCTGTCCCATACACTCTCTCCTTTGTCTATAGCAACACAACAATTGTTCTTTATTATCTATGTATTAATACGTGAAACAAAAACTTTGTACCTCTTTTTACGAAAATTGCGCGGACAGAGGAGTATGAAATTCGGCACACTTATAGTTTATATAGAGGAGTGCAGAATGCTAATATTATTTTTAAAAAATTATTCATAAAAATACATTAAATCAAATAAAAAAAAACATTACACACACTAACATGTATTTGATACACACACGCATATGTACTCTTTTGTTTATTGTTAAAGTCTGTGGTCAAATTGAGAATAGATTAATATTGTATGTCTTTAACATTATTTGTCTATAGTCTTACTGAATGTCAAACATAACCATAATAAATTTAATTTATTACACACATATATAATATACAACATAATATATATTTTTTGGTCGAATTTGAGCGACCACTACTATAAATATCTCGCCGTGTCGCCCAGGCATAGAATAGACCAACTTTTCCTTTCTCTTGTAAGAGGCAACTAAGAAAATATAATGGCCAAGAGACGGGCAGCAGCGTCCCTTTTAAAACATCATTAAAGCCTAACTGCGATTGCCAACCTGCCTGCTAAATGTGGCAAATACAAAACCTCTCTTATGAGGGAGGCTTATGTTTAGCAGTGGACAGTTGATACGATGATGATGATTTTTATAAATGTCATTGACCTTTCGTTTATTTACTAGCTATATACTTCGGCTATGCCCGCGTAAATCATAATGTGCAGTTCTCCCTTGTATGTGTTATGATTTGTAAGTCAATTTGAATACGTACATACAATACGTTGCATACAAGGGAAAAATGTCGGGACACTTGATATGACACGACGAACTTATGAACATTATAATAGAAGGTAAGATAGAAGGAAGGAGGGGGAGAGGGAGACCGAGACATAGTTACATCAGGCAGATCAAGGAAGGAGTCGGTGTCGTGTCGTATCAAGAGGTGAAGAGACTCGCTTAAAATCGTAATGAGTGGCAAGAGCTCCACCGACAAGAGCGCGGCTCTTAAATAGAATAGATAGATAGAATAACATTTCTATTTTGCCAAAGGTTGATTGAGAGAGAATGTTATGTAGCATTAATACGCCTTTTGTACCAGACATTTTTTTGTAATGTCATTAATAAAAAATAAATAAATATAATAAATAAATCAGCATATGAAGTATTGTAAGTCAAAATAAGAACGACTTTGTACGTTTAGTTTTCAATAATTTTATTTATTTATTTAATACTTTATTATATACACAAATTATACATAAAAATATGACAGAGGTAATGAAAAGAGGTACAAAGGCGAGATTAACTTTTAAAGAGTTCTCTTCCAGCGACTCTCAAAGTAGAAAGAAGTATCAATGTCAGAGGGTAGAGCGGTGTACAATATTGTGACAATGTTCAAACAAAAGAATTAGACAAAAATAAGTTTAAATATAATTAATGACATCATATTTAATCGTTTATATACACGCATGTATAGAAATAAGTATATACTTACACATACATACATACATATATGTGTAGGTATATTATATATGTTATACATGTATAGAAAAGTGTGACGTCCTTACTAGAACAATATAAATAGATATCTATTCAGAAATAACACCTTACACTTTAAAATGTCAAAAATAACTTGTGGAACGATTACCTAATTAATATCTTACAGGTATACATACATACATACATATCTGTCACGCCTGTCTCCCATTAGGGTAGGCAGAAACAATGGAACGCCAAATGCTTCGATGCTTCTTACAGGTATATTTTGCTTAAATAAGTTTACAATTCTTCTATGTTTAAAAATAAAAAAAAATTGGTCAATGTATTTTTTTTTTATACAACTTAGAATGGCAAACAAGCTGACGGTCCACCTGATAGCAATTAGTAACCATCGCCTATAGACATGAGCAGTACCACGGACATAACAGAGTATACTGTTTCGCCCATGATACCCCCCATGCGTTGCCATTCCTGAAGACTCAGATGTTATTCCTCTGTACCCAATAAATTCACGTCATATCCCACCCTTCAAACCGAAACACAGCCATGCAAAACACAACTGCTTCACGGTAGAAACACGATTGGGACAGAGGTACCCAAGCTATCGACTTTTGTGTAAAGTCTTCCTCTGGTAAAACGCTTAACTAGATTTATTGGAGAGATAAGTGGTTTGTTTTGTTAGAAATCGCCATGGGTGGCCAATCGGTCGATCGCGACTATTAGTCCAGCCAATCGTGGCAAGGCAAATAATATAATATTTTGCTAATCTAACGGAAGATGCTCAGACGCAATGCTCACACTAATATAAATAAGTAGTTACTAAGAATAATTTACAGTTTTATGTTTTCCCTCTTACTACAATATGAAAAATACTACAGTACTACATAATTGTGTACATTACCGTGAAGCAGTTGTGTTTGCATAGCTGTGTTTCGGTTTGAACGGTGGGATATGGCGTGAATTTACTGGGTACAGAGGAATAACACCTGAGTCCTCAGGAATGGCAACGCATGGGGGGTATCATGGGCGAAACAGTATACTCTGTTATGTCTATGGTACTGCTCGTGTCTATAGGCGACGGTTACCACTTTCCATCAGGTAGGCCGTCAGCTTGTTTGCCATTCCAAGTTGTATAAAAAAAAACTGAATTATGCTGTTTCATTTGAGGTTTCCAATAGTAGGTAATTAATTTTTTTTTTAACGGATGTAATAATAGATTACATATACTTTAAATGTTACATTCTTGTTTGGAAATATACGTATAATATAACTGGAGTTGTACTGTGATATCAGTAAATATGATAAACAGTGAATTAAATTAGCAAGTATTAAAAAATATTATTATATTTTTTATTATTATTATATTAATTATTAATTTTTTTTTAATACCGATCATAATATTTCTATTTTTTTTTCCATAAAAATATTAGTTTATATATATATATATATATATATATATATATATATATATATATATATATAATATAATATAAGCAAATAAGTTCATAATTAATTTGACTATGTATTTATTAATTTTAATCAGGCTGTATGTTATATTAATTATGCATGTTGTGTATTAAGTATGCATGGCTGTATGTTATGTAATTTCATGACTGTATAAAAATTATACATTTTATAATAAATTTTAAATAAAAACACTAAATAAAGCTATTATTATATTTAGAGTTATTTATTATAACATTATTGTACAAAGAATTTCAGCAAGTTATTAATTTGTAAATCATTGTATATATCGCCCATCGCCCATTGTTTTCTCATTGTGATTATTTCTTGTAATTATTTATATTTATAATAAGTTTACTATTATAATCTTTTGGAGGTAACAATAAAGAGTATCTATCTATCTATCTATATTACAAATCCTGTAGAGATATAATCTCTAATGGGGTAGAAATTACGTACCGCTGACATTCCAAGCACCTTCGATCTGGTAAGCCGAGGTAGCTGTTCCAAATTTGAACCCCGGTGGAAATTTGAGACTAGGATCCGCCCGCACCAACTCTGTTATGGAACTGGTGAGAAATAACGATCTATTAAACGTAGTAGGTATGTATAAATTAAACATTGGAATCCATTGCCTCTTGACATTAAATCTATTTAAAAAAATTTATTACATCAATAAATTAAAGTTAATATACAATTCCTTAGATACTAATACTAATTATAAGTAATCTCCCAACGCACCACAGCGAGGCAGCGTACACAAGATACTGGCAGCATTACCTTTGGATTGCCAAACTTAACTTTTGGGCAAAGTAGCTACCAGCTCTCGGGTTTATCTAAAAACCTATTTTTAAATATAAATTACGGGCTCACTTCTTAAAAAAACTTGTAATACTTTTTTTTAAATAATTTTTTTTTATTCCTTTCTTTTGTTTTTTAATTGTACTTTTTTCTTCAGTCGTATGTATTTTTTTTTATTTAAATTCTTTTAACTGCTGTTTTAATTTATTATTATTAGAATTATGGTTGTATATATATTTATGGATGTATGTTGTAATATGTAGTAACAATATTTATACATATTTTAGTAGTAAATAAACCGCGTACTTAATTTTCAGCATGTCTCATGGTTGTGAACTGGTGGAAAACGCTATTAGGTGTTAAGTCCGCCATATGTACAAACACTAATATTATATAATTGTGTATTGAAGTTTAAATAAATAAATAAATAAATTATAAAAAAAAATGTTTAACATAAAATTATTTTCAAATATTATATTATTGAGGGATTTTAATTTAAATCAAGGTGACTAAACTTAGTTATTTTTGCAGAAAAAAAAAAGTTGTGTGTACTATATACGCACACGAATACAAACACGTACGCTGTTACACATACACGCACACTCGCAAACATTCACGCAAGCACGCACACACATATAACTATATAGTAATACACAAATACTAAGGCTCGTGAATTCCAAATTCTTAAACTTTTTAATGAGCACATTAAACTACGCACTTCTCAATTCGATTAAACATTTGTTGTGACACGATTTTTAATGTGTAGGTATGTGTTTTTATATGTATATACACATTCACATCTACATACATGTGTTGAGAAATAATAATATTATATATATATTTAAAAATAAATGATAACTCACACTACAAGCACCAGTTTCAAGTATGCCATTTTATTAACTGAATGGCTGAAACTTGTTCGCTATGAGAGTGAACAATGTAATCGAGTAATGTATTCAAATTAGACTACAACTCAGTACCCATTTTATGTTTATTGTAAAACATTTGTATAAATATTATATTTTATATATATATACATATGAGGACAATTCAAAAACGGATCGGAAATAGAGTTCTGTACTATCTTTTTTTTTTAAATAAGGAGAGTTGATTGTATAATTTTAGTTTTAAATGGTGTTATATTAATTTTGCCATATAGTCTTGGCGTAGAATGGACCGCCCCTTTCCTGTGGGTGTGATAAGGGGCAACTATGGTCGAAGGATGGGCAGCAGCGTCTCTCTTGAAATATCACCAAGGCCTCCTGCTAAGTGTTTGGAAATTTTATACTAACTGTGGATTACCAGTCCCATTACTAGCAATATAACCTGGCAGATCGACCTCCACGTGGTCCATACCAATCTCACATATTATCCCTCACAAATGCTCCGCCGGCATATACTGTTAGCGCAGGCGGTGTTACCATTTCCTTATCATCAATTAAAAAAACCTAAGGTAGTTATATGGATTGTATTTTATTTAAAAAGAATCGTGTCAAGCCGGCATTCATCGCTAGTTTGTGATAATTACAAATATAATAGGATTTTTTTATACAACTTAGAATAGCAAACAAGCTGACGGCCCACCTGATGGAAAGTGGTAACCGTCGCCTATAGACATGAGCAATACCATGGACATAATAGAGTATACTGTTTCGCCCATGATACCCCACCATGCGTTGCCATTCCTGAGGACTCAGATGTTATTCCTCTGTACCCAGTAAATTCACGCCATATCGCACCCTTCAAACCGAAACACAGCCATGCAAACACAACTGCTTTACGGTTGAAACACGAATGGGACAGAGGTACCCAAGCAAACGACTTTTGCACAAAGTCTCCCTCTGGTAAAAAATAATGGGTTTTCACGACATTTGTATGTCGATTTTAGGTTTCTTCATTCTTCACAAGTTACGCGACGATCCCTGCTGCCATATGTACATTATTTGCGGCGAATTTTAACGCTTCATTAAACGTATCTGGTAATTGTAATTTATGTATATTTTAAGACTAGCAGCCCGTCCCGGCTTCGCACGGGTGGACATTTTACATTTTTATCTGTATCTACCTAGCTACCTATTTCATAGATGTGCCCGCCCCCACCTGCTCCTTTTCTGCATCGTTAAAATTGGTATGAATAACATGTACAACGCGACAGCGTTATTTTTTCTATTTCTATGAATTATTAAATTGGTAATATCTATTGAATGAAATAGCCGATTTGAACAATTCAAAAAGTAATTTACATAAATTGAAACAATTCTGAAAACAATATGATTTATTTGAATAAGGATTTAAACAGAAGTATGAATAACATGGTGTAATTTTGGTCGGTATTTCTTTCAAGTTTCAAAATTTAAAAAGTGGTTATTGTGACATAACGATAATAGTTGGACATATAGTATCGCGAAGTTTTTTGTAGCTATTGATATTTTCTTCAATTTTGTAGAACATACTTTTGTTCTATCACCAATAGTTTCCGCAGCGCACGCGACGAAAGATATTTTATAGCATTTTTTTTACATCTTGAGTTACGTTACTAAAGTTTTAGTAAGGACCCCTAATCTTTTCTAGCAATAAAAATAGCCTATGTTACTCAGGGTGAATGTAGCTTTCTAATGGTGAAAGAATTTTTGAAATCGGTAAAGAAGTTTTTGAGTTTATTCATTACAAATATACAGACAAAAATACAAATCTTTTCTCTTTATAATATTAGTGTAGGTATGAGTTGTTTTTGTTGAATAACATTCATTGTACCTATTTAGATATATACTACTTTACGAGAGATATGAAACAGTTTTTTTTAAAGGAACCTAAATGAAATAGTAAAACTATTTGCGTTTATACAACTTAGAATGGCAAACAAGCTGACGGCCCACCTGATGGATAGTGGTAACCGTCGCCTATAGACATCGGTATACCTACGTTTTAAGGGTATATTGCTGATATGATATATATATTATAAACAATTTGGTGGGCGGCACGATGAGAAATTTTGTTAGTTCTAAATATGGAAGATGTGCTACATGTAATAATATAAATATTATCCCTACTCATTATTATATTTATATACATACACCTACACACACATATACAAATACATATACATACATACACACATACATACATATATACATACATGGATATAAACGCCTACACAAATACATAAAAATATATAAATACTGTTCACGAAAAGTATGCAAGAAATAAGTATGCAAGTAATAAGAACTACCACTCCCATTGCTGGAATATACTTTGTCAGGTTGTTGTCCACGTAGTCCCCCCTTGAAAACCATTGTACTGAATTCAAGCGTATTCATCACGATGGGCTAACTGGTAGTAACTAGCCTTTTCATTCTCACTTATTATCTTGCAATGGCACCCCGCCATCTTATAACGTTTGCACATGTGCGGATACCGTTTCATTATCATTCATTAAAAAAGACCCTGCCCGCGCTATTGGTTTTTTTTATACAACTTAGAATGGCAAACAAGCTGACGGCCCACCTGATGGAAAGTGGTAACCGTCGCCTATAGACGTGAGCAGAACCATGGACATAACAGAGTATACTGTTTCGCCCATGATACCCCCCATGCGTTGTCATTCCTGAGGACTCAGGTGTTATTCCTGTGTACCCAGTAAATTTACTCCATATTCCACCCTTCAAACCGAAACACAGCCATGCAAATTGGTATACGCTGGTTGGGTACCATGGTTATAGGTCAATTAGCCTGTTGTGACGAATTCAACTATAGTTAACCACGTTGGTTTAACCAGAGTAAACTGCGTGGAGGTCGACCTGAGAGGATATATTGCTAGATTAGATTATATAGATAGTGTCTGCATAGAAATGCTTCGAGTCAACATTTTTATACAATTTTGCATGATTTGCGTTTAGTTATGAGTGATTCCTTTAGACTTCTATATTTATTTTGTCTTACAAATTCTGCATCTTTTTAATGCGTAAACACTCATTTTATTTATTAAATAATACGTCAAGATACATTTTATGCGTATGTATATAGAATACTGATAAAAAAACGAGTCAGCTAATTTGAGAATTAGCTGACAAAATTTGACCCGTTTTTGAGTCTCGACGTTCTATCTATATATAATCAAGATTGTTAGCTTACTGTGTTACTAAAATACCCTTCCCCGCTTATAATATGGTGGCCATTAAGACGTTGACGGGGTAGCAGTGAACGATGATATCATGGGACCCCGTCATTGTGTATTAACAACATGAGTAAGGTTGTTATTTTATCATCAATCTCTTAAAAAAGGTCTTTCATTCTTGGTATTGAAATGACGATCGTATGCAACGATTCATCTTTCTATAGGGAATTATTTCTATAGGCACGAGATCGTTCCGTCTTATAATTTTAGAAATCGAAGAAGATGAATATATATTATCTATGTAAACATAGCATATTTCTATAACTTTTTACTTCAATGTGTCTGTCTATATACAGAAATGGTGCTCTGTTTGTGTTTGTATGGAACCGTCATCGGTAGCGGTTCGCCCAGAAGAGTATTATATTTCTTAGTCGAAATCCTGTAAATATTTTTACTCGCACACTTTCTTAGTAGTTCCGTGTATGTAGGCCTCAAAGATTTCGGGAGGCCTTTGGAGTTTTTTTTTTCCTTTCTTATGGCACGGCACAAAGTGCATCCGCCAAAAACAAAACCTTTGGAGTTTAGACATGATATACCTTAAGTTCTTAATTTTTTTTAGTACGTTTGTTCCGTTGTGGAACAGGCTAAGGTTGGTGACCATGCTGCCTAGTCTTCAATATGATAAATTGTCTGGAACCCTAATATCTTAAATACGTGAGTAGTTCTGACTGATAGTGATTGACAATTTCAACATTCAGTCAGTGACGACTTAAATATGTCAGATATCGAAAATGACAAAGTCATCGACGTCAAATCGAATGACATGACAAGAAGAGAGTAGTAATGTTTTCTTTAATAAGACCTCTCTTCACGAAATCGACTTTATTCTTCAGATAATCTCATTAAACATCCCATATGTTTATAATCAAACGGTATAGAAAGTGCGTAAAACAACTGTTTAAATTGTTACCAACCTAAATAAAATTCTTAAGGTCGAATTCAAAGAATTTCAATTTGATTATCGTAGAGTCAAAACATTGGATGCGTGATACAGTCGATTCCTTCGCGCAATATGTCGAAAATAAAGAAACTTACGGGCTCGTTCCGCTATACGCAATGGGACCCGTGTCTGATTATATCCCAGATAGTGGCTATGCAGTCAGTTATGTATTTAACGCTTTGTTTGTTGACGGCTATTATGCAGGACCTAACTGGATCTACCAGGACTCTCGACCACATATTTGAGTACCATGTAAGTAAGCTAGATCATATACGTCTAGATGAATGAACAGTCCAACATTTTAATCATAAGATCAAAAAGTCGTATAGATAGACTACCAGAGAAAAGAGGTACTCTTTTGTAAAGAATGGGAAATAAGAAGAAAGTATAATAAAGGATAATTGGTCAAAACTAGAGGAGGCTTATTGGGTATAAGCCTTCTCTAGTTTCCTATTGTAACTATTCTGGAATAAGAAGAGAGATTGATATATTAGAAAAAAGGAATATATATATATATATATATATATATATATATATATATATATATATATATATATATATATATATTCTTTTTATACCTGAGATATTCCTATATATATATATATATGATATCTATATATTTTATGGCCATTCCTTATGGTAGTCTTAGGGGAGACCTATGTTCAGCAGTGGACAGATAATGGTTAAAATGATAATGATATTATGGAAAAAGAAAAATGCATTGGAAAGAAATAAGTATTATTATTAAATAAGAATGACATTATTATAAATTAAATAAAAAAACCTTTTAAAATATTTCAGGAAATACATGTGAGAGACAATGAGGGTAGATCAGTGATAGCGGCGTTTGTACTGAACGCTATCATCGGATCGTTCATGCTGTGGAACATTGTCGGCCGGACTAAGTTGTGCTTAGACTTCAGGTTTGTCCTTTTGATCAATATAAATATTGTTTTAGCTATTTATAATTATTCATGTAGTAATTTTCAGTATTGGTCATGGGTTCAATCCGTTTACAGTATGAATTGCAATAATGAGTATGACTGTCTGTATTTGTTTGGGCGTTTTCTTTGTGTAATATCTATGTATTTTGGGAGACTTTGTACAAAAGTCGTTTGCTTGGATACCTCTGTCCCATTCATGTTTCAACCGTAAAGCAGTTGTGTTTGCATAGCTGTGTTTCAGTTTAAAGGGTGGGATATGGCGTGAATTTACAGGGTACAGAGAAATAACACCTGAGTCCTCAGGAATGGCAACGCATGGGGGTTATCATGGGCGAAACAGTATACTTTGTTATGTCCATGGTATTGCTCATGTCTATAGGCGACGGTTACCACTTTCCATCAGGTGGGCTGTCAGCTAGTTTGCCATTCTAGTTGTATAAAAAAAAAGTATTTATTTATTCATTCATATATTTACAAAAAAATGTGAGTACAGTATTAATAGTGTAATATCCACAATTGTCCGAAATAACATACTTTTTCAGTTGCACCTACCACGGCATCCATCTGATTATCTGCTGGATATACAACGGCGTCTTCCCCACCACTTTCTCATGGTGGACCCTGAACGTAGCCTGTGCAGCCATCACATGCGTCACCGGAGAGTTCCTCTGTCTAAGGACAGAACTGCAAGCGATTCCCCTCAGCAATATTGGCTCGAAGGTGGATTTATGAAAGTTAGTGAAATTTAGACTGGATAATAACTTGCAAGATATGCTCAGATCTCTGTCCTAGTTGTAATTGTTTAGTTTTATTTATACAACTACTAGCTCAGACATAGATTGATGGTTAACTGCCAACACCTTCTAACTAAAATTTATGATGATTAGAGATGAGGATGGATGATGATGCTCTCATTATCATTTTTATGAAGATGGATGATGAGAGATGAAAATGAATGATGATAGACGAGGATGTGGATAAATGAGGCTGGATGATGAGACGATAATGGATGATGATGAGAGATAAGGATGGATGATGATGAGATGAGGATGGATTATGATGAGATGAGGATGGATGATGAATATATCTTAAATTAAGTCCCAATAGTGATCGGCACTTACCGCGATGGAAAATTGCAGGCAAATAGTATCTACATATCTGCTTTTTAATTGTCAACGTTAGTGACCTTAGTAGACGATAATGTATTTAAATTAAAAATACGTGTTAACAACGCGAAAATTTAAAAAAGTTCAAATACGATGAAAAAAAATTCTTGGTTTTAATATAAATTGTTAATAAATTATATTATAAATCATTTCTGTATGTAATAGAGAAAATGTGTAAGTTAATAAGTTTCTAAAACTATTTTATAAATGTCAGTTAGGAGGTTTTGGTGGTTAAACGTCGAGTTAGTGATAGATGCGTCAAGTATTCAAGTATGTAACAGTCTACTGAGACAAATGATATACTAATCTATATATATAGACATCTTATTATGTTTGTATGACACCGACAGGGATGGCAACATACAATATATTGTTCGGGGGGGAGGGCATTGTTAGTAATCTGGTCTAATTTCCCCATTACTAGGAATATACACTGTCAGGTCATAATCCACGTAGTCCCCCTGGAAACCATCGTTCTGAATCCCAGGTCTATTCATCACGATGGGCTAATTGACCTGTTTTCATTCTCATCTATCATCCTTCACTGGTGCTCCGCCAGCGTATATCGTTAGCGCAGGCGGGGTTGCCATTCCATTATCATATGTTAATAAATATTTGGTTCTCCCTCGTGTTGCGCTAACTAAAATTAGGAGGGAGTGTATAGATGGGTAATGGATTCACTGTATACCCTTACTTAATACCCTTATAGATAGATACATAGATAGATAACCTTTATTACCAGTATTAAGAAAATAAAAAATTAAAACAACAAAAGAACAATTAATGTTGCTGGTTGCTGGAAAAAAAAAACAATGTCGCTGGTTGCTGGAGCCGCCTCAGCTGTTGCTGTATATGTACAGCTCCAGCGAGATGTACCTATACAGCGCTGATTTTCAGGCGGCCCCTTAACTCCTTCACCTTTAGCATGCGTGCGGGTCGCCAATACCTATTTCTCGGATGGGAGACTCAACACGCTTACCAACAAATACATAAAATACCCTTTGCCCCCCATAGTGTCTACTAACATCTTTATCTGTGACCACTGGCAGTTCTTTTAATGGATAATAATGGAATGGTTACCCCGCCTGCGCTATCGGTATACGCTGGCGGGGCACCAGTGACGGATGATAGGTGAGGATGAAAGGAGGCCAGTTAGCCCCTCGTGATGAATACACCTGCAATTCAGTGCGATGATTTCCAGGAGGGAACACTTAGAGGTCGACCTGGTAGGGGACTGATGTCCGCTTTACTAACAATCCCACCTTTTCACAAGAAGTTTTTTTTTATTGGGTGATAATGGAATGCCGTCAGCTAGCCCATCGTGGCGAATTCAACAAGAATTGTTCACGATGGTTTCCAGGGGGAATCACGTGGAGGTCGACCTGATAGGGTATATTGCTAGCAATGGGGCTGTCAAACTCCATTGCTAACAATCCCTTTCCCCCCATGAAGTTATATTGAAACATAATAATGAAGTTCTGTTGATTAAATCTAGGATGTAATGTATGGGCAGCGTCGTACGCTAGTGGTGTACTATGCCAACTTATAAATCCCATAAGGTCGTAAGTTCGAAACTACTTGACACACAAAAATGTTTGTTAATATAAATTAATTCTTGTGTAATGGTAAAATATCGTTAACAAATTCGAGTGACGGCGGCTGTTACGTTCATCACAATAGCAATAGTCAAACGCGTCTGGCTACCCCGTCAGGGATTGCTGTCGTGAGCTTATATTTTTTAAGTTCTTCTTCTATTTTCAAAGGTAATTTTAAATCTGTTGATTAACACAACACAATTATTCCGATACAGGACTGACGTCTTTTTCAGGTATCATATCCTAGACCCTTAGACAAATGGCAAACGTATCTATCGATAGACACGTTATCGCTACCTCATGCGCAAGAGAGAACGTGACATTGACGTATGACGTCTTGTTCTCAGTGCGTGTGTTAACGATGCTTTAGACTGATAACCTGATAAATTTGCACATTATCAAAAATAATAACATATCACGACTATTTCCTAATGGTAGGTGGCTTACATGCGCATTTTTTGACAAACAGCTACGCTAGTGAGCAAATAGTAAAAAAAGAAATTCTTAACACTAATTTTAGTTCCCAAATCGCTCAGTAGAGGCAGCACCAACTTTAATGTTCGCTTGTCAGTCTCTCTTTTGTAACACTAAAGTTTAGATTAAGCAAATATCGAGCAATTATTAACTAACGCAAACTGTAAACAGACAACTGTGTAGCCAGTGTATTTGTCGATAGACTCGTTTGTCATTCGTCTTAGAGATATTTCTCACTAAATCCAAAGTGCCTATAATTGTCTACAAGTTTACAAGCACTTTTTATAGTCGAATAAAGATTATAAACATAATTTTTTGGTTTTAAAAATCGAATTCGGTACCTTATTGTTTTCTTTTATATATAAAAAAAAATTGTATGAAGTGATTGTTACTCAAATTGTATTTATTGAATTGTAATTATTGTAAATAAATTATTCTAAATGGTTTTGTATTTTTATACACTCTATCCTATCCTATAGGGAGTTTTTTTATGGGAAAAACGGAATGGCAACTCCGCCGGCGCTTTAGGTATACGTTGGCGTGTCACCAGTGAGGGATGATAGGTGACGATGAAAGCAGGTCAGTTAGCCCATCGTGACAAATTCAAAAACAAATTAACCACGATGGTTTCCAATGTGAACTGACAGAGGTCGACCTGATGAAGAAGAAACAGCCCCACTGCTAGCAATATTCTAGTCTAGTCGAGTCTATATTGCTTCCTAGCAGTGCGTCTGGATTTTTTAATAGAATGATAATGTTATGGTAACCCCGCCTGCGCCAACGGTATTCGCTGGCAGGGCACCAGTAAGCGATGATAGGTGAGGATGAACTTGGAATTCAGTACTGATTTCTAAGAGAAACAACGTGGAGGTCGACCGGGGTACATTGCTAGCAGTGAGGCTGTTAGACACCTATCTTACAGTTCCTCTCCGGACAACCTCCTTTTTAAAGTCGATTGAAAACTCATTTGCATGGGTACCTTTCTCTCTAGTGTTTTCGCTTTCATGATTGTGTTTCGGTTTGGAGGATGGGATGTTGTAATGAAATCATTAGGTACGTAGGTAAACTCTTCAGGAATGGCAACACAAGAACTGCACCATGGGTTTAACAGTGTATCCTGTGACGTTTACGTCGCTGTTCATGTCTTTAGGTAACAATTACCATGTATCATCAGGTGAGCCGTCGATTTGTATTATTTTAAAGTGATTTAGCTGAGTATTTATTGTTATATTTAAACACACTATTCATATTTATATATTTATTAATGTTTCTAAGTTACAAAATGTATTAGAGGCGACATATTTCTTTTTTTACAATTACCAGAGAGCATCACTCTACGTACATCAAACATAGACTAATAAAGTTGCCATATTAAGAAATGTGTGGATTGCTTTCTCAACAATTTGTTTGTCATTCTAAGTTGTTTAAAAAAAATATTTAAAACAAAAAGTAGGTATTATTATGAAAAATTTAAGCGAAGACAGAACTGTTGTAAGGATTTCATATAATCATCATCATCATCTCGGCCATAACTGTCCACTGCTAAATGTCCCTCCCCCATAGACATAGCAATAAGGAAAAGTCTGACCTGACCCACCTCTTTTTTTACTATTGAAAGGGTCCAGCGATTGATCACCATCTCACCTGATGGAAAGTGATGATGTGGTCTAAGATGGGGCTCGTGGGCCACGAATAGCTTATTCACATTTGCTTTAAATTGATGTGGATTATATTTAGACGGAAAAACATAAGCAGGGAGGCATTTTCATTTATTAGCCGTGTGCATGAAAAAGGAAGACGTAAAGCTCTTGCACCTGCATCATCCTTGCATTGTTCTACACTGCGTTTGCCAGTACGGGGTTGCCACCTAAGAACCTTACTTCCCCATCTGTTATCGGTTCTTCAAGCTATATAACCAGCTCATTGCTACTTCAGCTTGCTTATCCTTCGGGCTATGTCGGTTACTTTGGTTCTTTGGCGAATATTCTCGTTTGAGAATTTCATAGGTATATAAAATAAAATTGCATTACTTTATTAATGCTAATTTATTAAAATAACATTAAAAAAAAATATGTAGCAAACAAAATATTACGTAGATATATCACAACTTTAAGGAGCAGAATCAACAAAAACTATTACAAATACACTTGAGGACAAAGTAAACTAAACAATATTTACGACACTATAAAAATTATATAAATGTCATTTTAGCGTACAATTATACATAACACTTAGTTTTGATTATCAAAAATAATTATAACTATAGTTCAAATACTTTCATTGTTATATTTCATCATAAATATATAATGTCTTTTTCATAAAACGACCAAATTGAAAATAAATTAAAAAAAAAATAATAATAAAATATTAAGATTATTTAAGATACAAAAAAAAATGGTATTTGAAATATGAATCCTTTAATTCTTTAAAACTATGTACAGCATTACCACAACTGCGTTTTAAACCAAACCAACAGTAACTAATAAAAAAATATACGTAATCAAATTACGTCATGAATAGTCACAATGGCGTATGTTTTTATTTTATTATAAACTTTAGAAGTAGCACCATTCTTGATGGTTAGGAGAGAATAAACAGTACTTTGACAAAATTTGGTAATTGTGATGTTGAAATAGTTTTTTATTTTAATTTTAAGGCAAATAAGCGATTGGGTGGCTTAAAATGACAATTTATTTTACTGAACTAGATATTATCTTGCGGAAGTCATATATCACTGCTTACTTGCTTAGGATTATTTTGTTTATAATAATAATACACAATAATTGTAGCGGAATTAAACAAAATAATTACAATCACATAAGTATTATTTTGTTTATAATAATTGTAGCGGAATTGAACAAAATAATTACAATTAATTACAATCACATAAATAAAATATTGACTATATATATTGTTTCTTTTTAAACTGTTTTATTTTTAAACAATAAAACACCTCTATTATGTGAAAATATAAATGATTCCATAAATACTTATTATGAATAACAAATTCCACAACAATCGTTCAGTCTCAACATAAAAATATTACATTTTTACATACGTATTACGGTATTTAGTTACTAAATATACAGTTAAAATAATCTCCATGTTAAAGTTACGCATTAAAAATTGTCTATAATCATTTAAAAATAAAAATACACGATATTAACACAATAATTATTTCTTACGAATTGGTAACATAAAATTGTCCGCAAGTGTAGCAAACAAATACACTGTATTTATCTTAATTATTTCTGAGGGGCTTAAAAAAATGTCCATTTACAAAGGTCTTTATTTTAACCTGCCGAGTTTAATAGGTGCCACGCGATGAGGGTGTTTTAATAACGGAGTGGTATATTTAAATCGGTAGGTTATGCAAAGCAAATACTGTTATGGCCCGTGTACAATGGGCTTTTTAAGCCCATCCATTATACAGAATGTAACAAATGGTACAATATAGGAGTATAAAGATCTGAAATAGTGACAGTATTAATTTTAGCGCGGTTAAGTGATCGCTCATACTGTTACACGATTGAAATATGGTTTGTTTTTAAATTTCACTTTTTTTTTGTCGACTGTCGAGAAAGAAGTGTGATATAAAAATATACCTTATTTCAATGACCTTAAAACTGTTTTAATAATGATCAAAATTTGCTCTCTGCGGGCCCATGTGTGTAGTAGTGTGAGTTGGACAAAGATTTACGTGA